TGTTAACACGATTAGCATCATGCTAGCTACATGCTAATCATATTAGCATGATGCTAGCAAGTCGATTAGCATGTTGCTAGCATCATGTTAACACGATAAGCATCACGCTAGCTACATGCTAATCATGTTAGCATGATGCTAGCAACTCGATTAGCATGTTGTTAGCATGATGCTAACACGATTAGCATCATGCTAGCTACATGTTAATCATATTAGCATGATGCTAGCAAGTCGATTAGCATGTTGTTAGCATTATGCTAACATGATTAGCATCATGCTAGCTACATGCTAATCATATTAGCATGATGCTAGCTAGTCGATTAGCATGTTGCTAGCATGATGATAACACGATTAGCATCATGCTAGCTACATGCTAATCATGTTAGCATCATGCTAGCAACTCGATTAGCATGTTGCTAGCGTGATGTTAACACAATTAGCATCATGCTAGCTGCATGCTAATCATGTTAGCACGATGCTAGCAACTCGATTAGCATGTTGTTCTATTGCCCAGTTTACTACCGTTTTGTACCCCATCGATTTGCCACGCAAACCCCATTCACATTTCCTTTAGGAAATGTACAATTCTAGTTAATATTATTATTATTTCTAATATTAATAATAATAATAATAATAATAATAATAAAAATACTTGTATCCTGTGAAGTGAATTTGACTTTTGGATAACATTAATGGAAGATAGAAACAGTTTTTAAAAAGCCAATGTTTTTAAAGCAAAAGTACAGTGTGTGCTCAAAAATGCACTGAGGGTTATTGTGTGTTGGAGTGGATGCTAATTAGTTCACGGTGTAGTATTCATTCTTGGTGTCTTAATACTGGCAAAGACCTCAAAGTGCACTGAAGGTGATATGAAGGTGATAAAGTGCTAAGTAAATGCAGAGTTTAAATCTTGATGCCTGTCACTTTCCCTGCGACTGGTCAGTGTTTCTTTAAAGAGTGAGAGCTGCTTTAGTTATCTGCTCTGGGCTGTCCTTCATTCAGTGTGTCAGAATAAGTGAGATGCTGCAGTGGCATCCAGATGTTGTTAATTAGATCTGCAAGTCTCTGTTTCCTGCTGCGAGCACTGGTGTTTGCCCTCTCTCTTCCTCCATGCTATTCTTAGACAAACTCCATTGGCTTTATGAGGCTCTCCTGCTCTGCTGATGATATTAGCCAATAATTTCACAATGATGATTTGGGGAAGTTGATGTAGTGTATGGAAGCTGTCGTGTACGATTTGGTGTGTGTGTGTGTGTGTGTGTGTGTGTGTGTGTGTGTGTGTGTGTGTGTGTGTGTGTGTGTGTGTGTGTGTGTGTGTGTGTGTGTGTGTGTGTGTGTGTGTGTGTGTGTGATAGTGAACTGCAGCAGACTGGCTTGCGTGTGTTTGTTTGTAGATATCTAAAAAATTTTGTCTGTCTGTTTAGTCAGTTTAAAATGAAAATAAATAAACAAATGATTTTTTTTATTATATATTTTAATTAAAATAATTTATGAATGAGTAAATTTAATTAAATATAAATTGGACGATAATAATAATAAATATAATAATATTATTAATAATAAAAATAATAATAGTAATAATAATAATAATAATAATAATAACAGTAATAATAATAATAATAATAATAATAATAATAATAATAATAATAATAATAAAGATTTATTGGAAATTGACCTTCAGTTTTGAAAAGTGCTATAAATAAAATTATTATTAGAATTATGAAATGATATACAAATTTTGTAATGTTCTTGTAGAGCGAGCTTTAAAATGTTATATAAATGGGTTTTGTTGTTTTAACCCTTATGTGCTGTTGTGAGGATGTTTTTATCCACTGTGATTTGGATTTTGAGGGTAATTTTAGGTCTTAATTTGGCCAAAACATTTTCTGTGTTAGAGCTAGCAGAATAATTTTGGTGACGAATCTTATTTTGAGAAAATTCTTTGAACTAAAAAAACCCCTCAACAATACACTCTGGGCAAATTGACTACCCTTTTGTTATGATAGAGATGAAAACATCCACTGAATTAAACCGCTGTAAAACTGCATAAAATACTTGTTTTGACACAAAGTTATCTTCTACTTCTTTTTTGGCCTTAGTCCCGTATGGTTGAAGGGTTTATCTCTTTGGAACAACTCCTCCATTTACACTTGTCCATATGATAACGACTTTATTCTACGATTACGACACATTCTGGCCAGCCTGTCGTCTGGGCCTGTTCCCCTCATACACTCATACTCTACGGACAATTTTGCCTACCCAATTCACCTGTAGCATTTCTTTGGACTGTGGGGGAAACCGGAGCACCCGGAGGAACCCATGCAAACGCAGGGAGAACATGCAAACTCCTCACAGAAATGCCGAGGTTCGAACCAGCAACCCCGCGACCTTCTTGCTGTGAGGTGACAGCACTACCTACTGCACCACTGCTTCGCCCTTTTGTCACAAAGTTATGACACCAAATAATCATGCATCTTTGATTGTTGGTGGTTTCCCTGTTGGGAGGAGGTCAAATTTGTAATTTTTTACTGTTGATAATCAGTTGACATCATTAACACTTTAGATAGGCCTGTGCAAAATAGCTGGTCTCTGGATTCTATATGGTGTATAACAGCAAATTATAGTGTGTGTCTGTGAGTGTGTGAGAGTGTGAGAGTGACCTTTGCGCACTTACCTTGATGGGCCTGAGAAAATCAAAATATGCATCTCAGCTCTCAGAACTACATGGAGTAACCAAAAACAAAGACTGTGTATTTATGCACCATCAAATGTGGTCATAATGGAAGTCAAATGGGCAAAAGCAGCCACAAACAGTAAAATAGGGATTTTTTTTTATGTTAAAAAGACGTAATTTAGTGTTTTTTTTCACTACATATTCTATGCAATTTAGTAGTTTTGATCAGTACTGAGGTTTATTAAAAGATTTATGCAAAAAATGTGTGATGCATTTATCAGCAGTTTAATTCAGTTTTCATCCCAAACATAACTAAAGGGTAGTCAATTTGAACAGTGTACAAGGGCTAATAAAAATTAATTATTTCCCGCTATTTAAAAAAGCTATGTAAAATAAATATTATTATCGTTATTAATTTTTTAATGTTTTTATTATTATACAGCAGCAACAATTCATTCATTCATTTTTTTTCTTTTCGGCTTAGTCCCTTAATTAATCTGGGGTTGCCACAGAAGAATGAACCGCCAACTTCTCCAGCTGGAAAGGCTTCTGCTGCGTAAAACATATGCTGGATAAGTTGGCGGTTCATTCTGCTGTAGCAACCCCAGATTTATAAAGGGACTAAACCGAAAAGAAAATGAATGAGCATTGTTATATGCATTTTTAAAAATACTTTACAAAAAGCTTATGTTTGATTTTAACAGTTTAATTTCATTATTTTTATTAATATTAAATATTATATTTTTGTTATTCTTGTTCCAATTCTTATTATTTGTGTCTGTTCACCTCAATGTACTTAGCCCTTGTGCACTGTTCAAATCTTTTGTTTTGTTAGAGATGAAAACATCCACTGAATTAAAATGGCATCAATATATATATATATATATATATATATATATATATATATATATATATTTATTTTTCCTTTTTTTCCCTTTTTTTTGCATAAGTCTGTTAATCAGCTTTAGTTCTGATCAAAACAACTAAATTGCTTAGAAAATGACAGGATTTTTACTCTTTAATTGGCAAGTCGTTTAATTGGATGCTGTTCACATGTCCAAAACGTTTGTAAAAGGTAAAAAATAAAAATAAAAATTCGTCCACAGTCCACAATTACTGTTTATATTTTGTGTGTTTTTCTCACCAAATCTTTGACATAATTTATGAATTTGGCAATTAATTAGTTAAAATCCTGTAATTTTCTAAACAATTTAGTAGTTTTAATAGGGACTGAGGTTGATCAACAGATTTATGCAAAAACAAAAATATATATATTTATGTGATGCATTTCTACAGCAGTCTATTTAGTGGATGTTTCAATCCCGAACATAAAAAAAGGTTAGTCAATTTGCCTAGAGTGTATCGTTGAGTTCATTTTCTCAAAATATGTGTCAAAATAAGAGTTGTCACCAAAAATCATTTACTAGCTGAAGCACAGAAAAAGTTATGGCCAAATTAAGACACAAAATCACCACAGAGTGGATGAAAACATCCCCAACAGCACATAAGGGTTTGTTATATCTACTGACATAAATCTAAAACACTTGATTTATTCTTACATATAGTTCACCGCATGACTTTTGCAGATTTTGGAGTGTCTATTTATAGGCTAAATGCAAATAGCGCACCTCATTGGAATAAGCTAATTGAGTGATTCCCGCCCATCACCGTTTCATTAAGCGAGACAACATAAATAAAGAGCACAACACGCAGCAGGTTCATGGCTCATAAAGCGCATGGCAACTTTTGGCGGGATCATGAACCCGGTTCGAATCCAGCATCTGATGAACTCATTTTTCTTTTCCCTCCACTACATATCAGATTTTGCCTACTCTTCATCATGAGGAAGACAAGTAGGAATCATCAATAAGTGTGTGTATTATGGAAGACTCACATTCATAGAACTGGATTCCAAATATCCAAATCATATGCATTATAAGTGCGTAGACGTCATACATTAAAAATACCCTTAAATATACATTTTTGTACTGCTTCAGTGAAATTAAACAAGTATATTAAAATTCATTCATTTTCACTAGTTTTTTTAGTATTGGTATTAGTAAGTGTGCTTTAAATGCTTTAAAAATTAGTTAAATCTAATTTAATAAATGTAGACAAATATATGTACTGTATATCATTTACTTTCAAAATGCGGGCAATATATTATAGATTAATTTCATTCTAAAAAATACTATGTTATTCTTATTTTTTTAATTTAACAATAGGGGTGCAACTAGATAGGGGGCCTACAAGACATTGTGCCCAGGGGCCTCTGAATTCTTAATCCGGGCCTGTCTCTGTCTCTCTCATTCCCTCTCTTTATCAGGTACTCATGTGATGGAGGGTTCGGGAAGGATGCTGGTGACTGCGGTTGGAGTGAACTCTCAGAGCGGCATCATATTCACTCTACTGGGAGCTGGAGAAGGAGAAGAGGAGAAGAAAGAGAAGAAAGGTAGGTGTAAAAAGCCAAAGCATCAAACACCAACCAAAACGCGCACACACACAGACAAAACAAGCGCAGAGGCTGATGTAGGACGAGCTGAGAATGAGTAGCACTAGCAGACAGAGGAGAACGCCAAAGTGGAAGATCCTTACATAAGAGCGAAAGAGAAAGACACGGGCTTGATGTGAATGGAGGAGCAGAGGACTCAGAGCCTGCAGGAGGATTTATGAATGGTAGGACGAGCAGAGCTTCACCGCTGCAAACTTTATGGGCCGTGTCATGGCTAATTTAACCTGCAGGCAACAGAGAGAGGAGACTGGAGAGAGCGGGAACGGAGAAGGATTAGGAGTTATATTGGAGGAGGCTGATTAATTATTCAGAGAAAGAGAACGAACGAGAGCAACTGAGAGAGAGCAAAGGTTGGATGTGGGTGGATGAAGGATGAAGTGGTACTGGTACTGGCCCACTGAATCACTCCAGCCGCCTCACAAGCACAATTCAAATGTCTCTTTTTTGATCTCTTTTTAAAAATTATTTTTCTTTTTTTTTCTGCTAATCTGCGATTGTAGATAAGTGTGTGCTTTTAGGGGAAAAAAGGGTTTTATGTAGTGTCCTCTTATGGACATTTGTGACCACAAAATGTCTAATGTTGCATGGGTATATTTAAAAAAATAAAGTAATTAATTAAAAAAAAAACATTATATGGATCGAAATGAGAAATTTTTAATGCCCAAAAGCATTAAAATACTAAGGAAAGATAATCTTTCATGAAGGTGTTTTGTAAATTTCCTGTTTTAAATATAGTAAAACATTATTGGTTAGTAATTATGCATTGCTAGCAGTTCATTTAGTCAACCTTAAAGGCAACTTTCTCAATATTTTGATTTCTTTTAACCCTCGGAGTCCAGATTTTCATCATATACAGTATCAATTGAAAGATTGTGCATTGGAATTGCAAGCAATGAATACTGTACATCTCAGTTTTAAAAAGTAGACACTTATGACTGTATTTTGTGGTCCAGGGTCACGTCAAGGACTGAAAATATTATCTATAAATCTTCTTGCGTTTTGCAAATGTTCATAATTATACAGAATTTGCTGTTATTGCTAAGTATGTGTAATGTGCAACAAATACACTGTAAAATGAAGTGTTATCAAATGCAGAAGTTACAAATTACGTTTTTATTTTGCCAACTTTTTGTTAAATATTACACAAATATATAAGGGATAGTATATACAGTACTCCGCATATATAAGCACACCCTGTCACAAATCTATATTTTAATTTCTTATTTTAATATGAAGCTGTACAATATTATATTTGTGCATACATTAGATTAGTCAGTATTGAAGCCAAATCTGGAGCTTATCTAACAAAATAACCTATGAAACGGTTCAAAAACTAGAACATCCAAATTTATATGATTGAGAAAAATATTCAATTCAAATTTAAAAAAGAAAAAACAGGGGTAATAATTCAGGGGGGCTAAAAATTCTGACTTCAACTCTATATACACTACAGGTTGAAAGTTTGGAGTCAGTTTTTTTTCTTCTTTTTTTAAGAACATTATTGTTATAATATTATTCTGTTCATCAAGGTGGCATTTATTAAATGTAAAAAAAAAATCATTGTTAAATATTTATTAACATTTTACATAACTGCTTTCTTATTGTATGTTTCAAAATGAATTATAACTTCAGTCATTATTGCTTTTATTACTATCATTAATAATAATAATAGTTAATAATTAATATTAGAGTGATTTCTGAAGAATCGTGTGACTGAAGACTGGAGTAATGACGCTGAAAATAAACTTTAAAATCACTGGAAAAAATAATAAATTAAACTATAAACTACTTATTTTATAGTGTAATAACATTTCACAATTGTACTGTTTGTACTGTATTTTTGATGAAATAAATGCAGCCTTGGTGAGCAGGAGAAGCTTATTTTAAAACATTTTTAATCCTACTGACCCCAACGGTAGTATGTACAGTATATATATTATTTATATCAATTAGAGCAAATTCACTTTAGTTGTGTGCTTTAATTTAATACTATATTGGTACAAAATATTTGCATTTATTTTTACATTTTAAAAAATTTATTTGGTGTTTTTAGCCTTTATTAAGATAAAACTACAAATTTGAATGCCTGACGCGCATTGGCGTTATATTTTATCACAGTGTCCACTAGGCCATCGGCACCGTACTATGAGATTTTTAATTATCATTTTTTAATGAACTAATTTCAAATGCTAATAAGACGCCATTCTCTCTATAAACAATTTAAGACCTTCAAATGCTTTTGAGCCTGCATGAAACTGAACATTTAGCCAATTACCAGTACATCCCATAAATCTTTCCTTAAAATGAGTCCCACTACATGAACTAGATTGCTAATTGACTAAATGAACTAGAGCACTGACACCATTCAACTACTCGCAAGCATTTTTTTTTTCACCAGTTCCCCTTAACACCACATGACAGTCATTGATTTCTCTTTCTTTCTTACTTCTACCACCACCCAATCCTAACAATTTCCCACAATCCCCCTCCTCCACACCTGCATTATCCCTTTGTTTCACTCTCCGTTCAGAGGACAGTAGTTACTCTCCCACAGCCACAGCCAAAGCAAGCGGCATCACCAATGGTATGTACATCACAGCGCTGATGTTGGAGGATTGAACACCTTCAACATCTCAGTCTGCGTTCAGACTGACGAGCTCACAATTGTGTATTTACTCACAGGTTGATCATGTGACCGTTTAAGAGCACAGTTCAGTGTGTGTGTGCCGTGAGTTTGTGTTCGTACGTCTGTGTCTGTAGTTGTGTGCGCACTTTCATTTTCCCACTCAAGAACACAGTGTGCTCTGTCTCTCATTCAGTCTCTGTCTGTCGCTTTTTATTCTCTTGTTCCCACTCTATCTCTCTCTATCTCTATCTTTCTCTTTCTTTCTCACTCTCTCTCTCTCTCTCTCTCTCTCTCTCTCTCTCTCTCTCTCTCTCTCTCTCTCTCTGTCTCTTTCTGTATCACAGGCAAGCAGCCAGAAGCAGCTGTGGAGACCAATCAGAATAAAGGTACCGCAGGGACAGTGGAGTAGATGAATGGAGAGAATGAGGGGTTAATTATTTTCTTGTTGTGGAAGATTTTTGTGGGCTCCTCATCCACGCTGTTGCTATATGAGGATAGCAACGAGAAATATGAGCGTTAATACCATGTATGCACACAGACACATATTAAAGAGGTGGAAACACACTCTTTGTGCTAGGATTGTTTAATGGTGAGATGTAAAAAAAAAATGCATTTATATTTTTTACATTGTTTTTTGTCTTGTTTTACGGTACAAATATATAAGCCAGAGGTGTCAAATTCAGGTTCATTCTAAAACCACTGTCTTAATGTTCGATTTGAGGAATCGTTCATTTAAATATTCATTATAAATATTTTTTATTTCGTCTTTGTCAGTGCTTGATCACTTTTTATTGACATTTGTAATGGTTAATACATATATAAATTTAAAGTATTGTATGAGAAATGCTATATAGAGATATAGATATACTTACGGGTTTTGTAGCATAATTTACACACTCAGAAAAAAATGGTACAATGCTGTACAAAAGAAGACAATGTTGGTTCAATGTTGTACAAATCCTTGTCACTGGGGCAGTACCTTAGGGAACAGAACTGTACCTTTGCAGTTTGTACCTTTAGGGACATGATTTGTATAATGGGAAACCAAAATGTACCTTTGGTTTTCAAAACCTGCAGATACAGTACTATATTGTACCTTAAGGTACAAATCTGATCCATGTAGGTACCACTACAAGACACTTTGTACCTTAACAGTGTCAAATGTGTTCCTTCAAGAACTATTTAAAGGCTTTTTACTATATCCAAAATGCTTAAATTTCAGTAAATATAAAGATTAAATACGTACATTTATTAAACAATGTTTTTTTAAGTTTCTTTTTGTGTACCTTTTTCATTTAAAATAAAGAATAAAAAATATGTTAACATGAATCAAAAGATCTATTTTTTGCAAAACATTTCACAACACTTCACAAAAATGTTACAGAAATGCATTCTCCCATGTACAATATAAAACATTTCTTTCTCTATTCTTTACACAATACTTTTGTAATCACTTGAAAGTTAACTTCTTTTACTTAATTTTAAAATAGAAATAGAGTTATACAAATGTGTTGTAACGAGATATGCACAATATTTGATTGATTTTACAATACTAAAATGTCTGCATGAACACTTTGCATATGCAAGACTTCTGCCAGCTCCACATGTGTAGCAGAAAGCAAACGTGCAGATATCAATAACTTAACTGTATTTATTAGAAAATGCTTACCAAATGATTATTAAAAATGCCTTAAATCTTTAGTTTACAATACCTTTAGATCTGTTTTACCAGTTGTATTGAATCATGGAACTTAACAATTCCAGTAATTCCCTTTCCAGTAATATTTATTTTCATAGATATTGCAAAAAAATAATTTGTCCAACACTTATGTACCTTTTTAAGGGGACAATTGTGTATCTTCATTTTAATTGTTCCATAAAAGATACATAAAAGCATTATAAGAGGCATTTTCCAAAGGTACAAAACTGTTCCTTAAGGAACATTATTTGTACCACCGTGTACCTTTTTTTCTGAGAGTGCATTACCAATCCAGACAATGTATTGTTTCAAGCTACTTGAAATGTCATTAAAAGTCACTTTATTAAACTTTTTTAATATTAAAAGTCATCAGAGCAGAGATCAAGGGCCTGTAATGAAATTCAAATACGTACATCATTCATTCATTTTCTTTTCGGCTTAGTCCCTTTATTAATCCGGGGTCACCACCGCGAAATGAACCGCCAACTTATCCAGCATATGTTTTACACAGTGGATTCCCTTTCAGCTGCAACCCGTCAATGGGAAACACCCACCCATTCTCATTCACACAAACACAAGGAGCCATTTTTGCAATTAAGCATTGTGTCTGAAATATAACTCACTCATCCAATGTCTTGCTTGTTGGACTGTTAAAATCAGTTCATTTGCGATCCATGATATCAAGAAAACAACATTTTGTGGGAGTGACATATAAAAAATGTAAAAAACAAACAATACACAGTAAATCTTTGCCTACCATACTTTGAATTACAATACATTTTAACTGCATTCTAGAAGCAGGAATGTTTTATTGTTATTTAAAAAATTAATTAATTATCATCAATTATTAATAATTATTTAAATAATTGCAAATTTTCTTTCTTTCTTTCTTTCTTTTGTTCTGGATAAGTGTCAATCTCTTACAATATTGTTATTGAACTAAACTAAATCAACACTGAACTGAGTTGAGCTGCTTAATGACACTATATTGTCCTGGTACTATACATCTTTACAGCAGAAATTGAATTTGCCTTATTTTTGATGCTGTTATTATCCTGTTTATAACTATAAAGCTTCTTGGAATCAATTTCTTTTGTATAAAACTCTAAAAAAATAAGATGACTGGACATCAAGCATCATAGTTTATCATGCACAAAAGATAATTGCTTTAAAAGTAGCTTTTTAATTCTCTGAAAAACAATATATATATTTATATATATATATATATATATATATATATATATATATATATATATATATATATATATATATATGCTTTTTTGTGCTTTCTTGTTTAGTTTTTTGCTTTGAAATTGGCAGACGTTTACTTCTTTTGTATAAAGTTCTAAAAAAATTAAGTTAACTGGACATAGTTTGCATTCAGCATCATTAAAATAAACATTTAGTGTATTGACATCAATCAATATAATTTAACATGCAAAAAATTGCTTTAAAAGTAGCTTTTTATCTCTTATAAAGTGAAAAAAATTAACTGTTTATTAAATTGTTATTTTTGCTTTCTTGTTTTGTTTTTTACTAGAAATTGGCAGATGCTTTCTTTATCTAAGCGTAAAGTCACTATTAGTTTTTTCAGAAAAGATTTGTTAGTAATGCTATCTTGTTTTTGCAATGTTTAGGTGTTTGAAATATTCAAATAGTTTTCTGCTGTGCATACATGATGATTGTTTCCGCTGTAGTACATTGTCACTGTAGCTTATTGTTTTTCTTCTATCGAAGGAAAGCACCCAAACACATTTCTCTGAATAATGCAAGCTCAGTAGAATTGGAGAGGGCCAATGCTGTGTGTTCCCTCTTTAACTGATGTCAGTGTTTATGCTGTGTGTGTCCACATTTGTTGTGCCTTCTTTTGTCTTGTGTCCAGTGTTTGTGTGTGTGTGCTCGCCACTGTGGAAATATCTGATGTGTGGCATGAAGGTATTCAGAGCTTTGAATGAGTGTCGTTCAAGATGCCTCTGAGTTGTGACACAACAGATTTGCAGTCCATATGTAGTGACGCTAGCTCATGTCCCGTCCACCAGCCAAAAAGCAGGATGGAGCCGTTGCGATGGAGATGCAGCCCCTGAAGAGCGCGGAGGGTGGAGAAGTGGAGGAGAGAGAGAAGAAGAAAGCCAACGTGCCCAAGAAGGAGAAATCTGTACTGCAGGGCAAACTCACCAAACTGGCTGTACAGATTGGCAAAGCAGGTGTGTTGGACTGCATGTGGACAATCATGAGCTGATGTCATATGAAAAGGCTAATTACAACATAAATAGTAACACATATAATAATAGAGGGCAGAATCATAAGAAGAAGAAGAAGCACACATTATTTTTTCAAAAGAAAACCCATGGCGATTTGAAAATGGTGGAGATGATGCATGTTAATGGCAGCTAGCTCTCTGCAACTCTCACATGGTTGCCCACTGAAGCTAAGCAGGGCTGTGCCCAGTCAATACTTGGATTGGAGACCACATGGGAAAGCTAGGTTGTTGACGGAAGTGGTATAAGTGAGGCCAGCAGGGGGCGCTTAACCTGCAGTCTGTGTGGGTCCTTATGCCTCAGTGTAGTGAAAGGGACTTTATACTCCTCAGTGAGTGCCATCTTTTGGATGAGACGTTAAACTGAGGTCCTGACCCTGTGTGGTCGTTTAAAATCCCAGAATGTCCGTCAAAAACCCCGGCATCCTGGCCAAATTTTCCCAATGGCCTCTGTCCATCATGGCCTCTTAACTATCCCCATATCATAATTGGCTTCATCACTCTCAAGTCTCCTCTTCACCGAGCAGCGTGGTTTGTGGTATGGCGCAATATGCTTATTTTGCGCAGCCGCCATTTTAGAACACGAAAGCGAGGATGTGGTGGGAAGAAAACCGGAAGTATATGATCAGCACTGTAAACATTGCAGCAACTAGCTGTGGACTACAAATCTCCAGCTGTTGTCCTGATTTCAAAGTGCAGATATGGTGTAAACATCACTTTAATATCATTCAGTTCATCACAAGTTTTATTTAAACAATTAAAAGCATATTAGGCATCAAACAAAATCACAATCTCTTCAAGAGTAATAAGCTCAAGTGTCCTAGACTTCAGCTCATGGCACCAGGTAAACACCATGACGACGCTTCCCTGTTTCAGCCTATGTAACCCAGTGTGCAATAAAACAATGCAGTCTTCTGTAGCACACCGTCGTCTTGTCTGTAATAGTGTTGTCCCGGTACTGACATTTTAAAAACTTCCATTTCCCGCTAACCTTTAAGCGTCGCCGAGCACGTTTATAAACACCACTGATTTGTCATAGCATTCACCAGTGATACACAGATTCTGGAGCGGTTTAAAGCCATGAAGATCAGTTGATTGCTCATCTGTGTTTGCACTTGGTAAACAGTGGTGAAGTACGGTGAACTGATGACCTTCACAGTCAATCACAGTCATTTCTGTTGAGCGCTGGTGAATATTATGGGTTAGCAGAAAATTTACTTCTTTATAAATTTGAGTACCGAAATTCAGTATCATGACAGGTCTAATATAGTGAAAGAATTAGTTTGTTAATTTGAGCTTGATATATGGCATCTAAAATGTGTGTTTGGGAAAGAAAATGTTAGCTAACCAGGGCTTTTTCCCTTAAATTAGCAGAAAATGTGGTCTGATATCCTTTTTTTGTTTTCACTATCCATTCAGAACAGACCTTCGGGTCACTCAGAAGGCGGAGAAATGATAAATTTGTGTCACTTTATTTTTGCTGATAAGATAAACAGCCAGGTACACAACGTTCCTATGTGACGATGAGGCGATACATCCGAGTTTCTTCCCACCGCAGCCTCACTTTCGCTCTTTAAAACGTCGGCCGCGTTAAAGCAGTCTATATGGCTGCCGTCGCGTCATCGAGGTGGATGCTGCACATGGGTGGAGGATAAGGAGATTCCCCCAAAAATGTGTAAAGCGTTTTGAGTGTCCTGAAAAGCGTTACATAAATGTAAGGAGTTAATTATTAATGTTGATAATGGTAATATTAATAACGATTATGGGGAGGTTTGTATATTAGTAAGATAACTACTACTAATAATAATAAGAAGAAGAATTTAAAAGGCTGCCTCTAAGTCCTCTGTGACCATGCAGACGTTTGACCCTGTCCATCCCACCTGATGTCATTAAAAATAATTTTATAAATAAAATTTAATGATCCTTCAAAAAACGGTTTGTCACCTTTAATAAATGTATAACTTTTATTAATTTTAATCATAGTGTGCAGATTGATTGCGCAGCCTATGTTAGCCACATCATTAAAGAATCCAAAAGCTGCATTCAGACAAAACATTTATCTGCAATAATATTCTAAATATTGTTGTGCTTGTTGTTTTCCATTGTAGGTCTTGTGATGTCAGCCATCACAGTTATCATCCTGGTGCTGTACTTTGTGATTGACACGTTTGTAGTGGGTAACATGACCTGGTTGCCCGAGTGTACGCCCATCTACGTGCAGTATTTTGTCAAATTCTTTATCATCGGTGTGACTGTGCTGGTAGTGGCTGTGCCTGAGGGTCTTCCCCTCGCTGTTACCATCTCTCTGGCCTATTCGGTTAAGGTAAGACAGAGACCCAAGTGCACTGTGTGCGTGATAGATAACAGATTACTGTTAACAGATTACATAAGCACATTTGAAAACAAACACTTTTTTTTAGATTATATAATATTTTTAGCTTGATTTGCTTTTGTAAACACTCTTTTCATCATCCAAATTTTTGTTTGTTGTTAATTTAGAAAATGATGAAGGACAATAATCTTGTGCGTCACTTGGATGCCTGTGAGACAATGGGCAATGCCACTGCCATCTGCTCCGACAAGACTGGCACCCTCACCACCAATCGCATGACTGTAGTGCAGTCTTACATAAACGACCAGCACTTCCGAGAGATCCCGGACCCCAGCCAGATCAGCCCCAACACCCTTGAGATGATCGTCAATGCCATTTCTATCAATTGCGCCTATACCTCCAAGATCATGGTGAGACACTGGATTATGTATGTGATTTAAAATAAAGCTAAACAATCAAGCTTATTTTGAAAAGTTTCTTAAAGGAACAGTTCAATCAAATACCTACTGTAAATCATCATCTATTACTTCTTAAATAATTACATATTCTGAAGAATATCTATAACCAAATAGTTGACAGAAACCATTGAATCCCATTGCATTTGTTCCAACTGTCCAAGACTAGGCATTCATAAACTGGTTATTTACCAACATTCTTTGAAACATCTTCTTTTGTTTTCAGTAGAAACAGAAACAGTTTAGGATTTTTTTTTTTTAAAGTGCACAGGGTTGTCAAATAAAAATAGATCCAGTTCAGTTTTCTTTCCTCTGCGTCTCACACGTCATTTCAATTCTCTTTCAGCCACCAGATGTGGAAGGTGGTCTGCCCAAGCAAGTTGGTAATAAGACCGAATGTGGTCTGCTGGGTTTCCTACTGGACTTGAAGAGAGACTACGCCCCTGTGAGAGAGCAGATCCCAGAGGAGAAGCTCTACAAAGTCTACACTTTCAACTCAGTACGCAAGTCCATGAGCACTGTGGTGCAGATGCCGGATGGAAGCTTCCGACTCTACAGCAAAGGAGCCTCTGAGATCGTTTTAAAAAAGTAAGTATGACAAGAACTAGGATGTTGTTTATCTGACTGGTTGTCCTTAGCTGTTTTAATCCAAAGTTGGGATTTTTATGTACACTACAGTACCTGACAAAAGGCTTGACGTCTGTCCCAGTTGTAAGAGCAACAAATAATAACTGGATTTCTAGCTGATCATTTGGAAAAAAGTTAGATTTTTCCGATGAATTATCTGTTGAACTGAACCCAATTATCACAAATACTGCAGAACGCCTATTGGACCCAAGATTCTCACAGAAATCAGTCAAGTTTCGTGAAGGAAAAATCATGGTTAGGGGTTTCATTCAGTATGGTGTGTGCGAGAGATCTGCAGAGTGGATGGCAACATTAAAAGCTTGAGGGGTCATGGCATTTGTGCTGCCCATTACATTACAAACCCCAAGAGAGGGCAAATTCTTCAGCAGGATAGCGCTCCTTCTCATACTTCAGCCTCCACATCAAAGTTCCTGAAAGCAAAGAAGGTCAAGGTGTTCTAGGATTGGCTAACCTAGTCACCGGGCATGAACTTTATTGAGCATGTCTGGGGTAAAATGATGGAGGAGGCATTGAAGATGAATCCAAATAATCTTGATGAACACTGGGAGTCCTGCAAAAACGCTTTCTTTGACTTTATTAATGAGTTATTTGAGTCATTGCAGAGATGTATGGATGCAGTCCTCCAAGCTCATGGGAGTCATACACAATATTAATTCGTTTTCCACTGCATCATGACTTTATATTCTATTCTGTACATTATTTTCATTAAGTGACAAGACTGTCGTGATTATAAATGATTAAAAATCAAAGCATGATCATATTTTATTTTAGTAAAATAAGTGTAATCTAGAGGCCTTTGTCCTTCATATAAGCCACTTCTGATACCAAATGATCAACTAAAAGTCAAGTTATTATTTGTGTTCCAAAAACTTGGATAGGCGACATGTCAGGTAGTGTATAACAATTTTGTATGAAAAGCAGCATTGCCATCCCATGTGTTAAAAAATGTAACTTGCTTTGGAATTGGTGCAAATGGTCAGAGATAAAATTTGCTTTAACCAGGGAAACCACTGTAGCTCTACTAGTACATGATGCTACAAGTGTAAAAATTGCTGATGTGTAGTATTGGCTATGGAGGCAGACGTCTTATTGAAATTAACTTAATTATTTTGACAACAGAATTTGGCTCAAGTTAGGGCATCCACTCTTATGGCTAAACACAGACATCTAGCACGACTGCACTCACAGAAACGCAAATTCAATTCCTGCCTTTGCCGATCCCTCTGTAGCCCAGCTTTTCTGTCATATTTCTTCTGTCCTATTTGCAAAACATGAAAATGCCAACAAAAGAGACTTTGGCTCAGGCATTTTAGAGCAGCTAAAACTTAAAACTTAATTTGAGATGTTGTGCAATGAGATTTGTTCACTGGTAACTTGAGGCACATGGGTGTTTTGACCTTTGTATTATTACAATATCCCCCATTAAAATATTTATATATGTTAAGACTTCTCTGCTTCTACTTGTACCATAGATGTTCCTCCATACTTGGTACCAATGGCGAAGCACGAAACTTTAGACCACGGGATCGGGATGAGATGGTGAAGAAAGTGATTGAGCCTATGGCATGCGAAGGCCTGCGAACAATCTGCATCGGTTATCGTGATCTTCCTGGCGACCCAGAGCCTGAGTGGGAGAATGAAGCTGAAATTGTCACTGATCTGACCTGCATTGCTGTCGTCGGGATTGAGGATCCTGTTCGACCAGAGGTATGTAATGAGAATGTGTAAGGCCCCGATATACTGGTGTGAGCTCATTTCAAACAAGTGCAGGGCAAATCAAGGATTGTTTGAATTTTTGGATTAGGAGTTTGAAACATCTTGCGAAAACAAATGATCCAGTTTGTCTGTAACTGGTAAACTTCTTTAAATTCCATTGGTCATGGCGATTAAGAAATAGGTACATAGATGTGACTATTGCTAAACAAGTGTGTAATGAAAGGCGATGTATAATTAAACATGACTTGACTAGTGTCCTAGATAGAAGAGTGTGCAAATGTATTCACAGATTCACCAAATCATTTCTTTAATGCAGTTTTCTTTTTTTTCTTTTTCTTTTTTTTGATGCTGTCACTTCTGTTGAAGATTTTTTTTGTTACTTAGTCGAAAGCATCCAGCCAGTGTTGGATAAGCTACTTTAGAAAGTTTTTAACTACTAATTATATAATTTAAAATGTTATTTGGGTTAATTCTTTTAATCACTATGTCTGAAAAGTAACTTGTTTACTCACTAAGGATTTGAAGTACTTGAATCACTACTAAAATCCCTATAAACCTCAACAACACAGACAAAAGACATCTTATCCCAGAATGTAAATAAAATGACGGTGTGTGCACATGCTGCGGCCTCTCTGTCTCTCTCTCGACAAAATGGTGTTTATGTGTTTTTATCTTGTATGTTGCAGTGTTATTGTACGTCTTTGTCTCATTTATCTGCCCTTAAGCGCGCATATAGTCCAACATTTTTGCTCAACATTGGCAGATCCAAACTTTGCTGCATAACTCTGGTTAGCACTCCTTGCCATGTGCCCACATGTGTAATTGTATTATTTACAATGTTTAAGTATATTTCATTATATTATGTGTGAAATTGTATTTATTGTTATTTCTTTTTAAAATTAAATTTTTTGTATTAATATTATGCACTTAGGGTCTGAGAGTGACGCAATTTGCAATTCTTGTACATGTGGTTGGATTGATAATAACACTGACTTTGACTTTGAAAGGAAAATAAAAACCTTTTAATTCTTCATATTTGAGTGAAACATGGCTTTTAAACTATATAAAAATGTATTAGTTAAGCATTTTAATAAAAAAAACCTTTAGATTACATACAGATGAAAAGACTATTATAATAAAGGATAATAATAATATAAACATTGTATGGATAAAAAAAGAAATGTTTCAAAGCAATGACACATAATTCATATAATAATTTAATAATTAATTTCTGACCAAATTCATTGTTTTTTAGGAATGTACATATATTAAATTTAATCTTCCTTAGAAAATTGGATTGGTCTGCAAAACATGTGAATAAAAAAATATATTATTAATAATAATAATACAGGGCAGCACAACGGTGTTTAGTAATCCCTTACTTTACGTTATCAATGAATAAATACCTAAAAACTGTAACTAGTTACTAGTAAATAATGATACCCACACTGCATGCAGCATACTGTATATATACATATTCACTATATATATATATACGTTCAAAGAGTTGGCAGCAGTAAAACGTTTTAAAGGGTACTTCAAACTTCATTTTACCCTTAACCATTGAAAATAAAGCATTTCTCTTCTCCTCCTGCAGGTCCCTGATGCCATTCGCAAGTGTCAGAGGGCAGGCATCACTGTGCGCATGGTCACCGGTGACAACATCAACACGGCACGAGCCATTGCTTCCAAGTGTGGCATCATTCAGCCTGGGGATGACTTTCTGTGCCTGGAGGGTAAAGACTTCAACCGGAGAATCAGAAATGAGAAAGGAGAGGTTTGTGAAAATTAAATCACAGACATCTCAGCACCGAACCAATATAGACTAAACTGAATCATTGATGTCCGTGCTTTGTTTACGTGTGTGTGTGTGTGTGTGTGTGTGTGTGTGTGCTGTGTTACAGATTGAGCAGGAGAGGATTGATAAGATTTGGCCCAAGCTCAGAGTTCTTGCACGTTCGTCCCCCACTGACAAACACACTCTTGTAAAAGGTGAGGTTCTCTTTCTAGCTTTTCTAATCTTATCTTATAGCCTTTCTTTTTCTAATTGTACTTTACAGCACCATATATATTCTTTGTTAATATCATTTTTTTTCAATTTTTAATACAAAATGTGTACGATTTTTAGTATTACCTACAACGGGGTATATGCCGAGCTAGTGTGTTTCCCATAAACTCATAAACTTCCAGTGACCTGTTTTTTTTTTCCATTTTATACAATTCCTTTTACAGCATCGATGTTGTACTGCAATTCAAATACAATCAGTTAAACAGACTTTGGCATTCATTTAGTTGCTGAAGCGTAAAACGAGACAAAAAGCCGTTTACTCGCACGCGCCCGTCAGAATCGGCAGGCTAGCGCAGAAGCTCCATTGAATATACTGGGGTAAAATAAATGCTCAGATTATAAAGACATGGCGGGAGAAAATGTAACTTAATGCAGTGCTTCTTTTACAATCTGAGACCCACTTTATATTAGATATCACTCAACCAGTGGAGATGGCTGATTTTTAAAGAAAATAGACCTTAAACGCACCGATTTTGCATTGGCATACAATTCACCGGAAACGATTAACCCAGGTTACTGGCAAATTAAAAGTCCTATTAGCATGCTTCGGCATATACCCAACTGTGCACAATCTGGATCGAACACTTGGTAGACATCTTAAGATCATGAGAAAAACATTTCTGTTAAAAGGTTTTTGGCTTGGAATGTTTTTGCAGAACATGTGATGTCATGCAAAAACTGCAAATAGTTTAAAAGTTGCCAGATTGTTTTTTTTTACACTATACACATTTGGGGTATTATTTTGTGGTTATTTTGTACCTACTACTTGGTGGATTGGATCAATGACAGAGGGTCACATATAAATCGAGGTAAAATTAGGTTTATATTTGCGTATTCAAACATTTTAATCTTATTTTTTTAAGTATAATCAAATAAAAATATATAGCTTTTGCTAATAACATCTAGTTGGAAAACATAATGTGAGTGATATGTGCTGTTAGATCTGTGGTTGGCTAAATGAAACCTAATATCCTTATATTACCTTATATCCTTATATTGTTTACTATGCTACTTTAAATATTCCATGTTTGTATGACTTCAAAGCTTAAATAGCACTATTCAATTGACTGTGAGCAATGGTGTGCTTTGATAGTCATTGGCTGCTAACAGAATTTCCCTATTTAGAGTTTGCAAAGAATACTTTTCTAAAATTATTTTAGGTAGGTGAAAGTCTGAATGTACAAACCTACTTTACCCCACTCATATAATACACATTTCAATAGGAAGAAAAGCAGCATCTCTGCTTAATTTACAATCTGTTACACAACCAAACTCACGCAATAGCAATACAGGAAATTGCATAATTACCCATGAGATTAAAATTCTTCCTGTTGAAGATGGTGCCCTAAATCCAAGATTTTGCGCACTGGTTTTGAGGGATAAAAGAAGAATATGAAAGAGATAATGGCTACTGCAGGTCTCTGACTCCTCCCCCTGAACTTTCCCTTGCCCTGTATCATGCTTTCTCATTGGCTGTAGGCTATTGACGATGTCATTTTCAGTCAAAACACATTTCACACTGCAGGACTCTGAGTCACAGACAAGTTCAGATCTTTGAAATGCTAAATATCTCACAGGCATCGGCTTTTTTCTCAGGTTGTGTGTTTGATAAAACACATCTACAGAGTCTGATAATCTTCTGGGTAGATTACATTGAAATCACAGATGAGTTACATAATGAAAATTGTAAGTAGAAACATTATCTAAATCAGTTGTTTTGGAATTAAACAGATACCAATCTGATAAACCAAATTATTATTGTTTCATAATATTATAGTTTTAATAATCGCTAAAAGCATATTTAATTAGTGTGGACTGGAGAAAAATATAGAGTAAATGCTATGCAGCATTAAACTAAATTAGCAGTCGCAGATGAATAGCATAGGTTTTGTTTTGTGTGATAAAATGGTGGTAATATGTCAGTGAGAGGTGCTGAGAGAAATAGATGGATGTATATCTGAAGGAAGCTATTGTGTTTGGAAAAAAAGTTTTAATGAAAGTCCTTTTTGCGCATTAATGTATTTGCTCTTTAGGGTTTTGACTTTCAGCAGTAAAATTTCAGTTTAAACTAAACTGAACTTCAACTCTGAAAACTGGACTGACACTATTTACTAGAACTTCTTTGTTAAGTTGCTTTGACACAATCTACATTGTGCAAAAGCGCTACAGAAATAATTGAGTTTTTCAACTTTGCTTGGTAAACAGCTGTTTTTGACACTCTAAAAGCACCATCTAAAAGCAGATTTACTTTTTCATTCAGATGGTCTATTGCAGGGGTCACCAATCTCAGTCCTGGAGGGCCGGTGTCCCTGCAGGGTTTAGCTCCAACTTGCCCGAACACACCTGCCTGGATGTTTCAAGTATACCTACTAAGACATTGATTAGCTTGTTCAGGTGTGTTTGATTAGGGTTGGAGCTAAAATCTGCTGGACACCGGCCCTCCAGGAACAAGTTTGGTGAACCCTGGTCTATTGTTTTTGTTCAGACCACCGAATGTTTGATGTCTGTGTGAAATCTAAATTTATAATGTTAATTTGGCTATTGCACATTGATATTCTTTCAGCGAACAATTAATCCATGCTAAGTACTAAATCTAACTTTTGCATTTGGAGTGATGGCCCTTCTCTATTGATGTCAGTTTGACGGCTTCATCCACAATGTTCTTTACCATGCCCCTCTTACTGTGAGAGACTGATGCAGTAACATAAACCCCCACCTACCAACTCAATATTCTGTCTCAGTTGGAAGTACATCAAGTTACTGAAATAAAAGTCTCAGCTACTTCTGGTTCACACAGACTTTAAGAACAATCTAGAAGTTAGAGCAAAGGTTTTATGTTACAAGTATTAAGTGAATATGAGCATATTGTGAATATATACTGTACAGTAAATAAATAAAGAGCTGTAGGGTACGGTAGTGGATAATGGGTCATTAAGGTTTTAATTAGGGGTCTACTGGAAAAAAGGTTTTTAAATCACTTATATAGATCTCCAGTAATGTATTTGTATTAAGGAAAACTAATAACTCTACATGATTTTATACCTTGCCTTATAATAACAGATTTTAGTTAGATTATGGTTATTGAGGGGTGCTCATATACCTGATAGCAATATACACTTATCGGCCACTTTATTAGGTAAACCTGCTTTACTGCCCGTTAACACAACTTTCTAATCAGCCAATCACATGGCAGCATTAAGGTTAAATGGTGTGGGGGATATTTTCTTGGCACACTTTGAGCCAAGTAGTACCAAATCTGTATCGTGTCAACACCATAGCCTACCTGAGTATTGTTGCTGACCATGTCCATCCCATTATGAGCACAGTGTGACCATCTTCTGATGACTACTTCCAGCAGGATAACGCATGATGTCACAAAGCGCGAATCATCTCAGACTGGTTTCTTGACCATGGCAATGAGTTCACTGTACTCAAATGGCCTCCACAGTCACCAGATGAAAATTCAATAGAGCACCTTTGATGTTGTGGAACGGGAGATTCGCACAGTCAACAAATCTACTGTATCAACTGTGTGATGCTATCATGTCAATATGGACCAAAATCTCTAAGGAATATTTCCAGTACCTTGCTGCATCTATCCCACAACAGATTGAGGCAGTTGTGAAGGCAATAAGGGGTTCCAACCCGCTACTCGTAAGGTGTACCTAATAAAGTGGCCAGTGAGTGTACTTTGCATGCTAAATATCATGGCCATTCTATATTGTGAAATTTAAAGCTAAACAGTACTAATCAAGATTTTTTTTAGAAAGAAAAGGCTAAACAAACATTTGTGAAATTCAATAGGTTAAGAAAAATGTAATGCCCTTGTGTGAATAATTTTAATAATAAAACTAAAATTACTGCTAAAGTAAATAACTTTTTGAAACTAAAATCTCATTTTAAATGCTGCATTTTTAATATCTGATTATTTAATCCAGATTACATTAATTTAGTTAGTATCCATCTATGTACACAACATGATTTTCACCAATTTGCATCCAATTCAGTCCAATGCAACTGACTGGCTGCATTAGTGTATTTACAATGTAAATTTGACTCCAAGTAGGCTGTAGGCAATCAAAACATATCAGACTGATGTATTCATGTATAGCGTGGTGACAGTGGTTGAGTTCAATGACTGGTCAAGGTTATGCGCTGGCTGCTAATTGTTTGCTGGGTGATGATGTTGCTGTGTAGGCATCATTGACAGCACTGTGTTGGAGCAGAGACAGGTGGTGGCCGTAACCGGCGATGGGACCAATGACGGACCGGCTCTCAAGAAGGCAGATGTGGGCTTTGCTATGGTAAGCACATCTGACAAACACTTCCCTCTAATCTATTCATATATTCGTCCTTCCGCCCAAGAGGTAGTTAAGAGATGAGTAATGATGAGAGATGAATATTGATTTATTAGAAGCTCCACTTATATCATGTTCAGCCAACAAGGGTGTAAGATCTCTGATGAATAAAAGCCTCTTTTCTCCAACGAATCTGACTTTGATGCATGAATTGCCTGAATCTGGTTCTCTCTTGCCGTCTTCAGGGTATAGCAGGCACTGATGTAGCGAAAGAAGCCTCTGACATCATCCTGACCGATGATAACTTCTCCAGCATCGTGAAGGCTGTCATGTGGGGGAGAAATGTGTATGACAGCATCTCCAAGTTTCTGCAGTTTCAGCTTACTGTCAATGTAGTGGCCGTCATCGTAGCGTTCACCGGGGCCTGCATTACACAGGTAACACACACACACACACACACACACACACACACATATACACACACTCAGAGCAGTGAGACTTTAGTATTATTTTAGTATTGTGCTTATTGTAGCATTTTTAACCATGTGTATTAGCTATTCATTTGATTTTCTTATAGATTTTTTAAAAACTTTTTAGTTTTTAATGTAGTACCTATTAGTACCTATATTTATTTCAGGTTTTTTTAAAGTTTTATGTACTATTTATAATTGGCTTTATTTCAGTCTTATTACACGTATTAATAGTTAGTTTTAGTTAACAGCAGGCACTTACACAAAGTTTAAAGAGATAGATTACTTAAAAATGAAAATTTATTTAGTATTTACTCTCCCTCAAGTGGTTCCAAGCCTTTATAAAGTTCTTTGTTAAGTGTTTAAAATGATACTTTAAAGAAACCTGTAAACAAATTTAACGATTGACATCCATAGTATAAAAATCATTAACATCCTAAGATTAAAAATCAAACACTATGAAAGTCAATACTTACCAATCAATACTTACCAGTTTACAGCTTTCCACCCCCCTACCCCCTTGATTTTTCGTTATTTATAACTACGACAGTCTTGTCACTTAGCAGAAATAATGAACAGTATAGAATATACTGTAAAGTCATGATGCAGTGGAAAAAGAATTAATATTGTGTATGACTCCCATGAGCTTGGAGAACTGCATTTAAACATCTCTGCAATGACCCAAATAACTTATTAATAAAGTCATCTGGAATGGCAAAGAAAGCAATCTTGCAGGACTCCCAGAGTTTATCTAGATTCTTTGGATTTATTCAGGAGGATTATTGCCTCCTCCTTCATCTTACTCCAGACATGCTTAATAATGTTCATGTTTGGTGGCTAGGCTAGCCAATCCTGGAGCACCTTGACTTTCTTTGCTTTCAGGAACTTTGATGTGAAGCTGAAGTATGAGAAGGAGTGCTATGCAGCTGAAGAATTGCCCCCTCCTGTAGTTTGTATTGTAATGGGCAGCACAAATGTCTTCATATCTCAGGCTGTTGATGTTGCCATCCACTTTGCAGATCTCTCGCATGCCCCCATACTAAATGTATCCCCATGATTTTTCCTTCACCCAACTTGACTGATTTCTGTGAGAATCTTGGGTGCATGCAGGTCCCAATGGGTCTTCAGCAGTATTTGTGACGATTGGGATGCAAATGATCACTTTTTTAAATGATCAACTTGAAGTCAACTTATTATTTGTTGCTTTTACAATTGGGATTGACGACAAGACTTTTGTCAGGTACTGTAATTGATAAAATGTTTTTTTTTTTTTGTGTGTGTGTGTGTGGGGGGGGGGGGGGGGGTGAACTATCCCTTTTACCTCAATCAGTTTCATTTGAGGTAAAATGTTGATTACTAGAAAAAATGTTAAGTGTCCCTAATTTTCTTTAAAAAAAATATAAAACTGAGGTCACAGTCAATTGTTCAGCGATGCACAAACAATGAGAATAACCTTTGTAGGATTAAAAATGTAGAAATGTGAAGTTTACATTAGTTTAAGGACTTGGATTATTATTTTCAGTTAAATGCTTTTCTTGTCATCATATAGTTATTTTAGATTTTTAGAGATCTATTTTTTTCTGGCAATGAAATTGTAAAATTTTATATAACTTAATAATTATGTTTACGGTAGTACCTCACGATAACTCAGATTTTTAATTATATTATCAAAAGGAGGTTAAAATTATGTAGATGGTTCCGATTAGGGCTGCACGATATTGGAAAAATCTGATGTTGTGATATTCTATTTTTCTGCGATAAATATTGTGATGAATACAGTTGCAAAAGATTGAATAGCACTATTAGATGGTTTTCTGGGGAGTCTAACAGCATTCAGGTAGAGAAATTGAACAACCACAATGCATAAGAAATGCTTTTCTTACTTTGTTGTCTCGTTTCTAGTCTAAATATCAAAGACATTCTTAGACCAAGAAAAAATATTGTTTAATTTTTACTGTCAGAAGAAATAGGTGATACTTTTTTTTTGGTACTTTTTTATTAGGAATTTGTCTGCCAGTGGAGTAAGTGAAATAATCTCGTTTTCGCTTTGAAATGTAGATATTTGGACTAGAAACAAGAAAAAAAAATCTAAGTAAGAAATGTTTTTTTTTACATAAATCATATAAATTCCATATAATAACAGTGATTAAATACAATTCTTTGGGTCCTGGTCAACCATAATTCAGACTGGACATTACATATCTTTACGATGTGATTATTGTGAATGCGCACACTGCGATATCAATGCAGAATTAAAATATTGTGCAGCCCTAGTTCCGATGTTGCATTAAATCTGGAATAATGCTTTATTAGTTCACCTGCATCACTTCTTTAGGGTTCTGTAGCAGTTCAAGCTTAATTTATGATAATTACAATATTTTATGCCAAATTTTCAATGTTGATTTAAAAATAATAATAATAATAAGGGAAAGAAAGCAAGTTAGTGAGTCATAATTGTCATAAATGTCACGTTTCAAAAATGACCCAAAAATGAAAATTTGCTTTTAATTTACTCACCCTCAGGTCTTCCGACATGTAGGTGACCTTTAATTTTTACCAACCCTATTTAGAGTAAAAACAAACATAGAGTCAAGAAACATGTGAATACCTGTGGCTCTTGACAATACATAAAATGTCTATGCAACGTTATTTACAACATTACTTTTATTTACTGCATAAGGGTAAGTATTTTATCAAATCTTTATCGAATTTGAACTATCGCCTTAAAATTTTGTGTCCTGCTAAATCTAATTCTTGAGTCAGTGTCAATTGTCTTAGCGTGTAGTGTTGCGGTAAGTGTGAAGCAGCCACTCCAGATCTCTGATAACTATGTGTCATGCAGGTTAGGAGAAAACTGACTGCATTGCACCTCTCAAGCTCACAGCAAACGACAGAGGTGATTAAACCGGTCACTGAGCCCTCTGCTGGAAAGTCCTGGAACTGCTTTCATTTTAAGAGTGTACTTTCATCTGTATGTAATCTGTGTGTGTTTGCAGGACTCTCCACTAAAAGCAGTGCAGATGTTGTGGGTCAATCTGATCATGGACACGTTTGCGTCTTTGGCTCTTGCCACCGAGCCGCCCACTGAAGCCCTTCTCCTTAGAAAACCTTACGGCCGAAACAACCCCCTCATCTCGCTTACAATGATGAAGAACATCCTGGGTCATGGAGTCTATCAGCTCGTCATCATCTTCACCCTGCTGTTTGTCGGTAGGGCAGAGAGTTCAGGGATCAATATTTGTTGATTTGCATTATTTATATGATGAATATCACACTTATAATGGGATGATGGGCACCTCAGACTTTTCATTACAGTCGCAGCTATGTTACTTTCATTATATTTAATTACAAATGAGAGCAATACTAGCATAAATAATTGATTTGATGGGAAAACAACCCAATGGGGAATGTGGTGTACAATGATCTTTGCATAAAAGGAATTTTACATCGCTTCTTGCAAGTTTTGTGTGAAATGGCTAGTGAGTGACACTAAAAGGCATGTTTAGTTTGCACAAAAGCAGATATTTATCATGTTGGTTCAGGCACATCTTAAGAAGGTTCTGAAATCAAATCAGTTAGTTTAGTTCAGCAACAGATAAAAGAAGAAGCAGGCATTAATAATTAATATGTTCACAGGACTTGTGTCTGTAACAGATTCATCCACCATTTTTAGAATTCAATTTTTTAAATCATTTGCATTTTTTTTGCAATTTTACTTTTTTAATGCACAAAAACAACAAAAATATTATATAAAATGAAAAAGCAGTTATCTGTTTTGCAAATAAATTCTTCAAGTGTTCTGCATTACAAACACATTGCTTTGCCAGATGATCAAAAAAGTTTATTATGATTAAAAAAATCATACAGTACATATGGTACATACAGATGTATGGTACTGTGCCGTACCTTTATGATGCAAACTTGCAAAGGTAAAAAATATGTTAGCTTGCAAATCATGGAGTGTGATGGAAGTATTTGTAGGTTATAACTAGCACACACGAAATCCGTGAGTGCAGAAATCTGCAGATTTTTAGCCCAACATTGAGTCCAGTGGTGTAATGTCACAAATACTCAAATCACTGAAATTGAGTAGTTTTTTTTGTCAGAAATTGTAATTTACTAAGTAGTTTTATAAATTTGTACTTTTACTTTCCCTTGAGAACATTTTATGTGCTGTATCTGTACTTTTACTCCACTACTTTCCTTCAACCTTCAGTCACTACTACCTATCAAATCACACATAGAAGCTAAATCGCATCATAATGAACTACCTCAAGACATGAGCTCTTTATAATTGCAGCAAACTGTTTTGAAGCATTAAAAGTGTCCGAGAAGATGTCGAAAATCTTCACACGCATTAACCCATATGTTTAGATGCATGTCACAGATGAGAAGATGACTGATGTTTACTGTATGATGACTGAAATGGCCTTAAACACCCAGCAGGCACAAGACGTCAACATGATGTCAGATTGACATTGTACCCCATGTCGTGGGGCTGTTGCATTTTGTTTGTAAATGAAAATTGGGAAAATTTTCGAACTCAACGTCAATGTCCAATGTCCAATGTCCAACATAAAACCAACCTTTTCCACCACTGATTGAGTCTATGTATTTACTTATATAAATGTGTGTCAATTAATATTTATTCAGTTTTTAAATTAATTTCACAAATATTATTTTCATACAATAATAGTAATATTAAAATGTTCATATGATTTGTTTACAATACAGTTTGTAAAGTAATACTTTCAGTCTTTGAGTAGACATATTATATAAGAGACTTGCTTTGTTTACCAAATAATTGGTTCTAATTGGACTTGCATTGTAAACACTAAATAAAAGTTTAAAATGTATTATACTTTATTGCATATATTAAGTTTTAGTTATAATACATCTGAAATCATTCCACATAAATCCGCAGATTTTTTACAAAATTGTCAGCAGTAATAGCAAAAATTGTCAGCAGATTCTGTCTGGCTATAGTGATAACATAATATTTTACTTTACTTATCTGCCCTGTCAGCAAAATGTTTATGAAATGTAACTGTTTTCTCCCTCTACACTGTAAAAAAAATCCTAGTTGCCTTAAATGTTTAAGCTGAATCAAATTAACCTTTTGAGTCCATTAAACTAATATTATGTTAAACTGACTTAAAATAACTTGCGTTACTTATAGATTTAAGTTAGAACATGATTACATTTTAATAAGTTACAATAACCTAAAAGCATATGCTGTCAGGACTAATTGATTCTATTTTTACAGTGTAGTCTTTATTTCCGCTAAAAATGCCTGTGAATTGTATATGTAAGTGCATTTTTTGAGTTTTGTGAAAATGTTGATAGAGGAGCATTTTTTTATATATACATATGCCTGGATAGAAACAATGAATGTACACTGAATTCATATTTAAAAGTTTCACATCTTTAAATGTCTTAATCTCATTTGTCTTATAAAGGGGAGAAGATCTTCAACATTGACAGTGGTCGTTATGCCCAATTACACTCGCCCCCATCTGAACACTACACCATCATCTTCAACACCTTTGTCCTGATGCAGCTCTTCAACGAGATCAACGCGCGCAAGATTCATGGTGAAAGGAACGTGTTCGACGGCATCTTCGCAAACCCAATCTTCTGCAGCATTGTTCTAGGAACATTCGGAGTGCAGGTCAGAGATGCTGTTGGTTGTGTTTTGGGAACTATGAAGGAAGCAGAAATCATTCTGCATTTGAGCTTATGTGTTTGTTTATCTAATACTCTGCAAAACTGTTTCTTAATCTGTATTGATTAGACTGCACTTTTGTATTAGAAAAAAATACTTTAAAAAATCGCATAAGATGTTAAGACATGAGCATTACATTCATCACATCAGTTAAATATGTATATATATATATTTTCCGCATTTTTAAAGGGGCCAATATACGCTTTTTTTTTTACAATTTCAGCTTATTTTAGTGCATATTGTTGTAGTTTTAGCATGCAAAAAATCTGCAAAATTACAAAACACAAAGTCTCTCCAAGAGGAGTTATTGTGTATATAGGTAAGCATTGTTTCTCAACTTACAATCAACTGTAATGCAGATTTTAATATATCTCGAATTTAAACAATTCCTGTCAAAATGGATGTGGGTCTCCTATTGTAGAAACTGTTTTACAAACCTAATATGCTGATATATTTGCAGTTGTTTTTCCCTCAACTGTTCACATTCACAGAAACATAATCTATAATGAACAGCAAATGAACATTATGTGCCCATAAAGGATAAATCTAACAAATGGTATGAGGTTAATTCCCAGTAGAACTTTTTGTAGTGTAGACTGTTAAGGAGTTATTCACCTAAAAAGTTTAATTGTGTCATTGTTTATTCTCAATAGAGATCCCAACCCCCTGAGACCTTTGTTCATTTTAGAAAACAAATTAAGATATTTTGGATGAAATCCGAGAGTTTTCTGACCCTCCACAGACAGCAACAGTCCTGAGAGACTCAAAGTCTAGAAACGCTTGCGAGAACTCACTGAAATTATTTTATGGGGAGATAATTTACCATTGGAATAATGCTAACTTTGTCACATGAAGCTTGTTTTAGCCAATCATTTAACAGCTTTTGGTTTCCATCCCTGTGTACTGCCATAGAGGCAGCAGTAGCATATGCTTTTTGGCTAATCAATATCCTTTGGCACTGTGCTCTGTATACATGTCACACTCGGTAGTGCTGCTGATGCATACTCTGGATGCGCAAGAGCTTTGTTTCAAACAGAATGTACAGTAGCATGCAGGCATTTGTGATGTATAATAGTCAACATTTGTTTTGATTTGTGGATCAAAACCTTTCATCTAAGTTGATTTAAAATATTGAACAACACCCATTATGGTCTTAGGACAATGTTGAAAAACTTTTTTGATCCCCTTCAAAGTTGACTGCTACTTCAGTGCACAGTACTATTGCGAATGCGCCCCAGAACTGACACTCAAGAGAAGAAATTGCTATTATTTTTGTTTTATGTGCTCTTAAAAGAATTATCTTAGCTTCATAACATTAAGATTGAACCCCTAATGTCACATGGACTGTTTTAATAATGCTTTTGGTACCAATTTGGGCTTTAAATATCTCACAAATGCTGCTATCTATAGAGGGTCAGAGAGCTCCTGGATTTCATTTAAAATATCTTAAATTGAGTTCTGAAGATGAGTGAAAGTCTCAGGGGATTTAAATGACATGAAGGTGAGTAATTATTCACAGATATTTTATTTTTGTTGAACTACTGTGTACCTTTAAGTTCAAACTGCTCTCCACAACTCATTCTAAAGATTTTCATTGGTCATGTCAAACGTACATTTGGCCTATGCTGAGTAAGCCAGTTGATGACTGTGTTTGGCTGTTGATCTGTGTACAGGTTGTGATTGTGCAGTTTGGAGGAAAGCCCTTCAGCTGTGCCCCTCTCAATGTGGAGCAGTGGCTGTGGTGCCTCTTCGTGGGAGTTGGAGAACTGCTGTGGGGTCAGGTACAGTAGGAGACATAAAGAACGAAAATGGAGAACTACTATCAAAGACAAAAATCCAGTCATTACTTTTCACACAACAAAAGGAAAATTTAAAGAAATAAAAGTCGAGCTTGTGCTCATTCTTCTAAAACGTCTCACAGAATGTGAGAATGTAATGTGCCATGCCTGTACAGTATATTCCACGTTTTGGGAATACATTAGAACTAAGGAAAAACAAAGCAAATTTAAAGAGGGAATTACTTTTTTAATTTTTAATGTACTCTGAGGTCTACTTATTGACAAGATTTTGACATCACAGACATCATCATTTCTTGTTTTTAAACCTCTTTTGAAACATGAAGTTTTAGGTAGATAGGTAGGTTACTTAGTTTTGATGGGCATGCATTAAATACTCAATAATTGGGGATTGGGAATATACCAACATGTACAAATGGGCTACAATTTAAATATGAAACTAATAGTTGGATAGATGTGGCATATTCTGGTAACAGTATACAGTTGTCAACCAAAATCAAACAAAGTGCTCAGGGGCAGCTTAAAAAATGTGTCTGTGGTCTTTGAGTAAGGAATTTATCAGTATAAACAGCAAAAATTAGTCCAAGGCACTTGGAAAATGTAGAAAAATATTAAAGAGCCCCTATTATACATTAAAAAGGGTCATATTTTGTTTTTGAGGGTCTCCAACAACAGTCTGATATGCATGCAAGGTCAAAAAGCACTTTCATTGTCTTATAATATGCATTTATTTTTACCTAATTATCCCAGCCACTCCCATATGATTCGTTCAGCAACTCATTTGTTCCCAAAGCCCTCCTTAGCACGACGTTAATCTGAGCTGATTGGACCGATGACAGCCTGTTGCGATTGGTTGACTGCGTTCAGTGCAAGACAAAGTAAAATGCCCACCACGGCTAATCAACAATATTGAGGTAGTCAGAGTGCAGAGTGTATGTGAGCATACCTGCCAACATTCCTATTTTTCCCGGGAGTCTCCCGTATTTCAGACCCATCTCCAGCCACCCACCCATTTTGTTATTTATCCCAGAAAACTCCCGTAATTTCAAACAAGGATGAGCTAATGATGGTGGCCATAGCAACGACAAAACTGATCCATGATCCACTGATCCATGTACTGATAAAGATCCTGTTGAGCTCTGACAAGTCCCTTTCATCAATAGTCTTTTCTGATCCTTCCTTTAAAAAACGGCCAACGAATGCCCCATTGTAAGCATGTAGATTCCAGAAGCACTCGAACAGCATAAGGCTGGACTATAATGCTTGATGTATTTTTGCAAAAATAAACCTCAACCACTCACTCTTCACAGTTTCATCTTTGAGTAGAGAAAATACCTCTAACTATCCCTCACACTTTCAAAAATATCCCGCTGAGTGCGGCTACTGTTTGTGGGAGGGGCCCTAGGTTTGTGTGCAACAACTGGGCGGGGCTTAAGTTTTGTATCGACATCACGCTGAATCGGCTAAAGACTCGCTATCAAGATGATTCATTTGAAGCACTATGAGATGAGTCGACTCTTTTATAAGTGAATCAACAGTTTTAAACACGCAGCACTTTCAGATTTAAGCCTTATTGTGGAGGGTAGTAGCATCTGTGTGCAAGTCCAATATGAACTAAGGATAGCTGATGTTGTGCTGCATCTTCTTTTGTTTAAAGATACCTGTTTAGTTAACTAATGCCTTTAAAATCTGTTTGCTGATTGTACACACATGAACACATTAGTGCATTGAATGACTTTACGTGTTTGTGAGCTAAACTAGGTTTTTGTGAACTGAGCATTGTATCAGTTGATGAAATATGGTTATTTTCTGTAAATTTAAACAGTCCTATAAAAATTCTGTATTTTTACAGTTAATTCCTGGCAACCCATGCCGGTATTTTTTCGTAAATTTAACGGATTTTTTTAACAGTGTAAATAAATTAAAGCTAAATTATAAATGTTGTGTTGATTGAACCAAACAACATTACATTACCTTTATGTAACTAAATTAAGTTCACTCAAATAAAAAAAATTTCTTAAAGGTAACTTAACTCTATTACGTGGAACCTGTTGACATAAAAAAAGTTATTTAAAGCCAACAAATCATTTTTTGAGTGTATATAAGCTGGATATTTCCCTTCACTTGGAGCTTTGTTACACACTACATGGAAGGTCATTCTCAAAAACCCATAACATGGGCACTTTAAAAAGCCTTTATTGACATAGATATTCTGTAAAACTGCACCTACACATTTTGGCAAACTCTTGCCTTCAACAGGGTAACAGTAAAGAGTCTTTTCAATATTTTTTTCCACATTTTTCGAGTGCATTGGACTGATTTATGCAGTACATACAGTAGCCAACATTTGAAGTGGATCGCATTTGAAGTGCTGTATAACTGCAGGTTAACTATGTATATGTATATATATATATATATATATATATATATATATATATATATATATATATATATATATATATATATATATATATATATATATATATATTAACTTTAACTGTTAAATTCTGTTAGAAACTAGTTAATTAGTTTAGAAACTAATAACCTTAACCTTTCACTATTTGATTGTAATGCAGTAATGTGCACCTGCTTTGAAACCATAATTATTGTGAAAAAGTGCTATACAATTAAACTTGAATTAAATTAAAGTGAATTATCAAAATCTTTCAACATAGTTGTCCTAAAACACCAAATCATTTTTGTCAAATGTTTACTGCTGTAGATCATATAGAGTTTCAAATGTCTAACATGTAGCTGACAAAGCAATGGTGACACATGGTAAAAACATTGTTACTCACACTTGTGTGATGCAGCATTACTGTCAGACCAAATATAGTTTGCGCCTCATTATATCCAGTCTCTCTGAAAAGCCTGAGTTAACCTGACTTGTTTTTAAAATGAGTCTGCAGTAAAATGTATTATTTAGGAAACAATCCTGACCCTTGCCATCGGTCTTTGTAGATGTCTGCTGGATCATGAAAGTCTATTAATCTGGCACTCAGAATGATGACTTAATACTTATATTTGTAAGATCAATGCATAATCTAATAGCTTTAGAGGATTTCCTAATAAGCACAATTATTTATTCTACATAGTGTATGTATTCAAATGTTCCTAGTGAACTTTAAGAAAATATTGCATTTGTTACATGTAAATGTTCATTATTTTGGGTATATCTTGTTTTCTTTCATTAATTTGTATTATGTGATGCATCCAATTGTGAACATTCAAACGCAACTTGCCATATGCGTTTAATTTCAAACCAATGCACATTAATTGGAGTTAGGAATTAGGAGTCCTTGTTTTACTGCTATAACAGCTTGTGCTCTTCGGGGAAGGCTTTTTTCTACTAGATGTTGGAACATAGCTGTGTGAATTTGCTCCCATTAAGACACAAGAGCATCAGTGAGGTCAGACACTGATGTTGGGTAATGAGGTCTGGCTCATCCCAAATTCATCCCACGGGTGCTCGGTTGGGTTCAACTTCTTCCACACCAGAATCAGCAAAGCGTTTTATTGTTGGATGAGCTCTTTAGCTCTCATCCAACTGCAAATATTTATCCATAGATTTTATGCACCTGTCTTATAAATCGTTGAATCTAGAATTGACAGCCCCATTAAAACTTCTAAAAAAGATTTTTATTAGGAAGGTCGTCATGAACGGCCTTTATTTTTTTTGACAGATATTCTCAGCCACAGAGTCTTTGTTTAACCACTCAAAACCTATTAATTTGAGGTGATTTACTTGACCTGTCAATCATTCTGCATATTTGTGGGTTAGTGCAGAGAGCTGAGAGCTTGGTAGATCAAACAGATCATGGAAGTTAAGCATCATGGAAATTCATAATTATTTTTCAGTCTGTTTTGAGAGAACAATTATTTTGCAATCACTACTTTTGTATATCTCAGGATTGTTTTAAAGAGAGTAGTTAATTTGAATGGAAGTCCTAAAGTATAACAGTACTTTTCATTCAAATAGGTTTCTACGTATTTGTTGCCCATACTTGACTGAAGGGAATTTGAGAACAAAAATCCTCAGACTAGATAAGACAGTATTAAAGTTCTGTCAAATGTGAGCATTTACCACAAAATCAATCATGTTTTTTAAAAAGAGATTATTAAAAGAGAGAGATTTATACATCACCTGAATAAATATTCAAGAGTGATCCTATTGCTCTATGGTTTGTAATGATATGACAATATTTGATTTAAAATATTCATTACGAGAGTTAAAATTAAAAAATAAAAATCTGTGGAAATCTCTTTTAAAGCTGTCTATAGCCACATTATTAATCTAAAATTAATTTTTAATGTATTTGTGGTTGACAATTGATCAAATATCTTCCCTAAAAACATGACATTTACTTAATATTATAATATTATAAAAGAAAAATCTATTCTTTTGACCCATTCAACATTTAGCTATTGACTGGTTTTGTGGTCCAGGCACTATGTTGTCAAAATAAAAAAAATAAACAAAACCTAGTTGTTGCTAAAAGCAAATTTACACATGCCATAAGTGCACATGATGAAATTCTATACAAAAAACAGGCTAATGTTGCAATTATATACACTTAGAACTTATACACTCATCCATAGTGTATAGTTTAGTGTCGTCTCAAATAAAAAAAGCTAATGTTTTGTTTTTTTTTACTAACTGTAAATTCAGATTTCAGAAGTCAACATTTAGCAGTTGCCAAATTAGTGCAATAAATTAACAAATAGTATCTGTCATAAGTACAACCGGATTCACCATTAGGAATCAGCATAATCATCTCCATTGAATACCTTTGCCAGCACAATACAAAATAAAGTAATCCAAACATAGCACCCATCAGCAACCATCTTTTTTTTGGATGAATAAATACATCATTTAAATCATTTAAAGTCCTTTATTTTTTTTTAGAGTTTAGAGTTTTCAGTATAAACGCAGTACTTACACTATCTAAACTATAAAATGAACTATAAAACTATAAAAAAAAAACAATTGTGATTATGTTTGCAATTGGGTAAAATTTGAGTTCATTTAAAAATGAAAGTAAAAAGAAAGAAAGGACAACAGTAATAATAACTAACAACAGCCATAATAATAATCACAAGTACTACACCAACTACTACAGAAAGTTAGTAATGTTACAACTACTACTGCTGCTACTACAGCCACAACCGCAACTAATACTACCACTAAGTCTACTACTACTACTGATACTATTACAGCGACTACTACTACTGATACTACTACTAATACTACTACAGCAATGACTGCTACATCGACAACATCTACTACTTCTGATACTACTGCACCGACAATAACTATTACTACTACTACTACTACTACTACTACACATCTACTACTTGTGATACCACAATACCAACGACATCTACTACTACAGATACTACTACAACTACTACTTCAACAACCCCAACTACAACTACAATTGCTTCTACTACAATGACTACTAATACTACTAAAGCAACCTGAATAATGATAATGGTAGAAATACTTGTAATAATGATAATGAGGAGATAACAGGCGATACCCCAGTATTTCAATGGAGTTCCTGTGCTCGTCTGCTACTCCTGATGGCATTTGCATTTAAACAGCTGTTCTTCTCGTTTTATGCCTGAACAACTAAATAAATGCTTAAGTCTTTTTAACTGATTTTATTTTACAACATCAATGCAGTAAAAAGAACCCTATGAAATTGAATATAGTCACAACAAACTTTAACCGTGAAGTTTATCTTTTGAGGAAAGAACACTACATATACTCCATTTGTACATAAAAGTAAAAAATTAGGCCTAGTATAGGGGTAAGCCTTGTTTACCCTCCAGGTTGAGGGTCCTAAAAAGACTGTGTGATCAAACTTTACATAAGATGGATTGTTCTCTTTCTCTCAGGTGATCGCCACAGTGCCCACTAGTCACCTGAAGTGTCTGAAGGAAGCGGGCCACGGGCCAGGCACAGACGAGATGACGGAGGACGAGCTGGCTGAGGATGAAGAGGAGATTGACCACGCTGAGAGAGAGCTGCGCAGGGGGCAGATCCTCTGGTTTAGAGGCCTTAACCGTATCCAGACTCAGGTGCTGTGCATTCGACTGAATAATCCATCCCTCTGGTAGAACTAGTTGAAGTCACATAAAATGATGTCCACAGACAGCAGAGCTGATGTCTCCTCAAAGAATGCTCTTTTGCTTTCGTTTTCTTCTTTCCCCGCTCTCTTTCTCTCTAGACCTTCTGTGAATCACCAACATTAGCTCATCCTTCCTTTTCTATTTCTTCTTCTCTTTCACTACTCTATCTCTGTCTCTGCTGCCCACTGTTGGGATGCTTCACTAAATGGGTATAGATTTCCCCCAACAAGAATCTATAGCATCCCCTCCTGTGCTCAAAGCTTTGTTTTGTCACTCTATTATGCAACTGGAGTGCTTTAAAGACCTAATTTATTGTTTAGTAACTCATTTGCTTCAGAGTCACAGCACAGAATCAGTCGCATCCTGGCGCTGCATGGGACTTCGCAATGATGCTCCTCAGACTTTAGAGAGTTGACGAGGATCTGAAGAGTGTTTTATTCTGGGCTTATACATATGTGAGCATATACAATATAAGGAATAGAACATGCACAGTTAAATATTTGTGTATTTCTGTTTGTGAGTGAAAATTTTAAGGTTTTATTTTTTAAAAGTGACGTTTTGCTGTAAAACTCAACAGTCAACTTTCTCTAATGAAATGAGAGTAGTTAACTCAACGTTTACTGAAAGTTAAATCTACTCATTTGAAATGAGTTTTGAACTCATTGTTGAAGGTATTGAGTTAATTAAATACCTCATTACTTCAACTTAAGTGGAGTAAGTTCACAGTACTCGTTAGATTTGTTTTTTACTCAAATTGTTTGTAGCAATCGGTGTCCTCAAATAGTTTGAGTTGCCTTAACTTATTGGGTTTTACAGTTTGAGTTCTCTTCATTTATTGGTTTTACTGTGCTCGCATTTCTCTGTTTAGTCAAATGGATTAAGTTCACAGTACTTGTCAGGATTAGTTTTTGAATGGTTCATTGCAATCAGCTTCGTCAAACAGTTTGAGTTACCTTAACTTATTGCGATTTAAATACTGTAAAAATAAACATATTTAGAAAAATTATTCGAATTTAAACTAATTATGTCCTATTTTATTATTGATCTTAATTATTTTTTTCTTTTCAGCAGTTATCACTACAGCCTTCAGTAAGGAACAATAATTTAAAATCAGTATAATGTGCTGATTTGCTTCATGAGAAATATTTATTTTTATTATCAATGGTGAAAACTCTGTGCTGCTTAATATCTTTGTGGAAACCATGATAAAAAAAATAGAATTCTTTGAAAAATAAAGCTTTCAAAAGAAAATTATTTATTTAAAACAGCAAAATTTCTATTATTTAATTCCTTCTTGCTTAATAAAATTCTTAAAAGTGACTAAAACAAACATATTACTAACCCTTATAAATAGTAGTGTATCTGCTGGAAAATAAATATACAGTAATATTGTAATAACAGTTTTACCATTAATATGTGTCACTGAGGTCACACTAAGTTATTATACTCTTATTATAACAAAGTTCTATAAGTTAATGTTATTCAATGTATTTGCTAATATGAGATAGCAAGGAATGATTCTTGTACACTATTTTTAACCATAGCCATAGTTATAACCATATGTCAAACACAGTTTAACATTTCTTCACTTTGAAATGATAAGGTTTTATCTACATTCTGAATTATTTTGAACTATTGAGCTTCAAAGCTTTTGCATTTCAAATAGCAATCAATATGTGTGTAACAGTTCTATTTCATACATTAACATGACAGAGACCCTAAATGTACTCTAAATGTAAATAATCCACATTCTGTGTTCGGCATACTGTATATGAGTACACCCCTCACAAATCTATCTTTTCAATTCATATTTTAATAGGAGGCTATACAATATTATAATTGTGCATATACATAAGCTTAGTCAGTACTGAAACTAAATCTGGAGCTTATCTAACAAAATAACTTACGATAACGGTCCTAGTACACCCTAGTACCGGTCTTAGTACACCCAAATTTATATGTTATAGAAAAATATTTAAACCAAATTTAAAATAAAAAGAAAAAATCAAGAGAAGCATAAAAAAATACAACATTGAGTTAAAATTTTGTTGGTTGTATTTATTTTTGCAATATTTAACTTGAATTTAATTTTATTATCTTTCAATTTTTAAATATGTTTGGTGACTAAAATATAATTTTAATAAATATATAAGTTTATTAATCTGTTTTGTTTAAATGCATCAAAATACATTGCCTATATTCACTGAGAAATGGATGCATTCATTTTCAAAATGGGGTATATGCAATTATGCTGAGCACTGTATACATTTTTGACTTTACATAAAAAAGTGAGTAAACCCATTGACTTAATATTAATAACTAATTGAACTGTATGCATAATTCAAAAAAATAAATCAGCTAAAGTTTCAAGTACAATGGGATTACTTACTTTTTTTAAGTAGTCAACAAAGCACTTTTTACAGTGTATCTGTAAGTATTTGTGCCTTTTGCATCAAAGGGCTCTTCTGAAAAAAATTGAGCTGCTTCTATAATTAATCAAATGTTTATAATAATATCTTGTTTCTAATCATAGTATTCAGTCTGGACTTGAGTTTTTACTTGTGGAATTGTTGTGTGCTGGCTCCTTTACTGTATTTTAGTTTACACAGTGGTAGAAGGATCTGTGGTGAGCTGAGCAGTGTTATTTGAGGACATATATAGATATGTGAGGTTTGTGACATAGATTAAGATTCCAGTTGGTTCATGACACTGTAACTTAAGAGAAAAAGCAAATGCATAAATGAACACTTATAAGCTGAGCACTTATTCTTTGGCCACGTTCTTGCTAATATGTGCCATAAGTGAGCAGATTTGATGGAATGGTGGGGCATTATAAAGATATTTTTTTGTTTGGAGTGCCTGGTATGGATTGCTGAAGTGCTTGTAAAGCTCCATACGAGGTTTCCATCGATTCCCTCGACACTGAGTAGGCAAAACGCGACACACATTATGACGGCTGGCCTCATATCTTCAGCCAGCCTAACATAATCACAGCTTTCATTCCAGCATGGCTCTGCTAAGGAGAGCGCCTCCATATCTTACTGTTGTGTTCTTGACACTTAATTATTGATGAGGTCTTATGCAAGATGATTGCATATTCTTACGACATTTCCCATTTCAGTTTGGCTTGTCCTTAAGGACTGCATTTAAAATTGATTCCCGCACAAAGTGAATTTTAGAGAAGGGAAACTTTTCAGGTGGTGTGACTGCAGAGCAAGATTATTTTAGTAAATCAAAATTAAAAGTAAGACTGGAACTACTGGTCAAAAAAAATTTGTGAAACTCAAATAAAAAAGTACATAAATGAAAAACTAAATTAAACTAACAACAATCACTGAACAACTAACTGAAAAAATAACAAAAGTAACAATTATTTTAGAGTTAATAAGCACCTGTTCTTTGGTGGAAAATCTGAACTTGACTGTTTAGAGAAGTACATGTAGATGGCAGATAAACACATAGGGCCCTATCATACACCTGGCGATGCAATTCGCAATGATGCGAACGATGCAATTGTTGTTTGCTAGTTTCAGCTCGGCGCAGGAGTCGTTTTGACATTTTGCACCATGCTGTTTAAATAGAAAATGCATTTGCGCTCATATGTGTGCCCATAGGCGTTCTGATCTAAAAAAGCAGGCGTGTTTTGGCGCGTTGCTATTTTGCGAAACTACAGTAGTCTGTTCTTTAGACCAGAACAAAGCCGGTCTAAAGTCCAGCACAGAGCGAATTAGTTGTGCGCCTCGCTCACACACTGCTTAATGCACACAAGATGTAGAGCAATACGGAAATATCTTTACACATGAAAAAGAATTAAAATATTAAGGATATATATATATATATATATATATATATATATATATATATATATATATATATATATATATATATAGGATATAATAAGGATATATATATAGGATATAAATATAATGGATTAAAATATTACAAAACATATTATGTTCAAGCCTAAATAAATATGAAAAACCACTGCCTTCATGCCTTCTTCATCTCGGGAGGCTTTTTCATTTCATTCAATTTGCTTTTGTATAATGTTATTATTATTAGCAGTATTATTTATTATATCCATATTTATATTTATTAAAAACAAGCTTAGATTTGCCCACCTGTTGGCATATGGGGCACAGCATGTGTATTAGGATATAACTCAGGTTTTTGACCACACTTCGTTATTATTGTTCATTTATTTGTTTGCTGGAAATTAGAACTGAATTTAGAAATAGTTTTAAAAGAACTCTAATTTTCAAGTTTTGTGTCACATTGTTTTAATAGCAAATCCATTTAAGCCACTTTGTGAACTCATGGTTGTTCCGGTCTTAAAAGGAGGTGTGTCTATTGTTGGTGCGTTGCAATTTTGAGGAACTGAAATAGACCGCGCCATTGACCAACTGAAAGCTGAATGCATTAGTTATGTGCCTATGCAGGTCCAAAACACTTACACATTGATTAATACACACAGAATATACACCAATACGCAAATATCTTTATACATGAAAAATAAATTAAACATTAAAATGTTACAAAAATTCTTTTTTTTAATTTAATTCGCTATTGAAGAGTTTAGTTTTTCCACTTACAAAGTCCGCCATGTAAATAGCAAATGAGTAAAACTTACTCCTAAAGGGAATGGGAGATGAGACTCTGATTGGTTTTTTTGCACCCATAACTCATTAAGACATCCCTGTTAGACTGTACGCCATGGCGCAGAGCATATTTACTTAGAAATATCTTTTCTAAAAAAACAAATCATTTCTTAATTAGAGAAAAAACTAAAATAAAGGTGAACTTAACACATTTAACTACATACATGATCTGTAATATGAAGAGGTTGGACTTAATTCTTTATCATTTTGCATTTGTAGGGTTTTGCATTCAGTGTTTGTTAAAACTAGTATTTTATTTTTTATTATTACGAGGTTTACACAAGAATTAATATAAGCCGTGCAAACATTAAACTTGCTTTGGTCGAAATTGAACATGTTCTGTTAACTCAGCTGAACTAATATACTGAAACTAATATAATAATACTGAAATATATAGAATTTAGAATAATATTTAAATATATAGAAATTAAATAAAAATGTGCTCACAAAATAAAATCTAACCAAACCATAAATTAAACAAACTAAACTGAAATGATCAACAAATGCAAAACTGGAAACAAAAATAAATACGAATTTAAAAATGTGAAACTATAATAAGCTTGCTGCAGATGTATTTGTACCCTGTGATATTTGGATGATTTATATTTATACTTTGCTGCGTATTTAAGCATTTAAAGGAGAGTTTTAGAAACAGAAGTACAACACAATGAGAGTTTTGTTGACAAAAAGATATTGGGGAGCAGAATCCTGCTAAATGACCCTATTATGATATCTGGAAATTAGCTTACAGATAGTGTGTAGTATAGCAGTTTGTGCATGTAAAATATCATCAACCATAATTTGAATTATATTCTCCCAGAAGAAAGAACCAGTTATTTCTTTCACAAAGCTTTGTAATAAATTTGCATAACATCTGCTTTGCTTCTCAAACACTGTGGTTCCATTCCGACTGAATCTGGCAGCGTTTAGTTTTGTGTTGTTGACATGTCTAGGAGAGGCTGTTTTCTCCATTACAAAAGCAAATCCAGTTTGCATGCCCTTCCAAAGGATTTGGAATTGTGCTCGAATGGACACAGTAACATTATGGCAATGTTATTGTCCAATGCTGTGTTTCCATGTGCTGAAAAAGCCGTCAGAGCTGAAATTTAGAGGGAATAATGGACATTTGGTTGATTTAGAATCAATCACAACAGACTGGGTCAGCTGATTTGAATGTTATCACTCGATTGAATGGGTGTTATCAGTGCTTATGAACTGATAGATATGGGCCAGTAGGCTTTTGTCATCCATCCACGTGGTTAATCAACTATAGATCACATACAGAAGTTAACAAGGAATTATTTATTAAATTTCCAATTAGTTATATTTTATTAACGTCTACCCCTATCCCAATCCTAAACCCAACCGTCACAACAATGTAAAAACAGATCTCAATCTGGAGTCTATTAGTATAGCTGATTAACCATGTGGATAGATGATAACAGCCTTCTAAGCCTACCAGTAGGCTCAGAAGGCCCCTACTGGCCCATATCTATCAGCTGATAACCACTGCTAATGCCCATTCAATCGAATGATAATATTCAAAGCAGGTAGACTGGGTCATCCAACCAATCACATCAGAGTAGGCTGTTGGAAAGGCAGGTTTAGAAAGAAGGATTTTACTGTATGATGATATATGCGCAATATCACATTAGTAGCAGTGCCATGTGGCTGTATGTCGGCACTGGTGGAAGGCTTGCGTGCATTAGTGTCCCATCAGGGATGATATACAGCCACATCGCACTGCTACAAGTGTGATGATGCATTTATTCAACAGTTTGACTGCAGAATCATGTGTATAATAAAAAAGAAAATCAAACACAGAGAGTCTCAAAACCTTTTTGTATGAGGAACTACATTCTTCTGCCATTTCTTCACATCTGCAGCTGACGTCAGAACAGCAGAAATCGTTTCTCATTCGCTAACTTCACTTTAGAGCTAGTATTTGAATGATTCTCTAGTGTAATGTCTAAAGTGATGACAAAACAGCTGTTTTTGCTGACATTTTAAGATTATAAGGCTGAACGGCATGAAATGCCATCAGTCTACAGACATATCTCCCAGTATTTATCTGTTGCAATCGGGAGATCACAATATTACCATAGTATAAATAAAGCACTACAACATACAAAATAGAGAGATCGACTTAGAAAGTCATTTACCTCTTTAAAAATGATTTGATCAGCTGTAGTTTGAAATTACGCTGTTTCTCTCTTAGGGCTTATTATGCTGTCTTTGTCACCATCTTGTGAATGAACATCAGCAACCCTCTTTGCTCAAAGGCAGACTAATGGCCGCCGATGCGCTGTCTCCCAGAAATTATAAATATTTTAAAACAGGCAGTATCATTATAAATAAACTGCATAGTTGCAATCTAAACAACTACATTCTCACCTAAAAAAAGTCTCAAAAGTACTTTATATTGCCCAGCAGCAGCAATGTTTGTCAAACTGTAGAGTGTCCTCTGCTTGTAGCTGCATGTGGGCGTACACAAGGGTGAAGATTGAAGAGGCTGAACGAGTGCTGTTATTTGAAGAATATTACACGGCTACCAGACAGAAATGTTGTATAAAATTTTATAATTAGAAATTTATTTTCTTTTTTTTCTTTCTTTTTTTTTTAAACCTATTGTACAAGGTCTCTCAAACAAAATGATTAGCTTTTAAAAGAGCATAATTTGGGCAATTATTAAGGATTTATTTTGATTAGATTATTCATGGGTTTTGATCTTGGTGGTGAATGTAGAGATTTGATGGACTTTTTCTTTGCACCAATGAATAACTTTTAAATAAGATCAGGATTGTGTACTACAGTAAGTCAAATTAAAAAAAAAGAAATTTCTTTTATCATTAACTCATGTTGTTTCATGTCAAACACAAAAGACAAGTTGCAGTAAGCACATCTTTGAAACCCAAAATAGATAAAAACACCATAAAAACAAATAGATATTTATGTAGAAAACAGCAACATGAGAGTAAATCATTAAAGAATTTTCAGTCATTTTCGCAGAGCTATCAGATAATATTAGTACACAGTGTCATCTTAGCTTTTTCTTTTCTCCTAATAGATGAATTCACAAAAATAAACACTCCTCGCCCTCTCTCTTTCTATCTCTCTCCTCTCTCTGAAGTGTGTGTATATGACGTGGTTCTCTCTCTCTCCTGCAGATGGAGGTAGTGAGTACGTTCAAGAGAAGTGGTTCGTTTCAGGGTGCAGTGAGACGTCGCTCCTCAGTGCTCAGCCAGCTCCATGACGTAACCAATATTTCTACCCCCACTCATGTAGTTCTCTCCACTGCCAATGCAAGCGCCGCTCCTGGGAGTGAGTTCCCTGCTTTCCCTACATGTGTTTAGACACCACATTCACAATGACAAAAACACAAACACTCAGACATGCACCCAGCACCGCTCCTTACACACAGCAGCACATGCAACATCTCAGCGTGTGTGCCGTGGTTCTTCTGTCCTGCATTTGAAACCTTCTCTGTAGTCGTCTGTTGTTGTGATTGAGTGGCACTTGGCCTGCTTTGACTGACCCTCTATGGGCCGCCGTTTGTCCCTCCTTTTCCTTCTTTCGATTTCTGTGTGCTGTCTTGTCGTGTCGGGCCTTTTCTCTTGCTGTTGGGTTCCTCTTTGTTGTCTGAAGGTGTTGGTTTTGTTTTCCAAATCCCCTTTTCTCAATAAGCCAATCTCTTGTTTTCTCTCTGGCCAAAAGTAATTACTTGCAAACATGAACTAAAACATTAGTTTTTAAAGCTGAAGTGTTTGCTTTTTTTAAATTCAATGAATTTAAAATGACGTAGATTAAGTCAAAGCAGCTTAACATAGATGAAGAAAAGAGAATAAAAGCCATAACATTATTTCACCTTGTGGAACATTACATTTTTCAACAAATTGAATTAAATTTGTCATTAAATTAAAAAGTAATCAGATTTCCTGAACATGTACCGCTGCTTGACTAATTTTAATTCATTCATTCATTCATTCATTCATTCATTCATTCATTCATTCATTCATTCATTCATTCATTTATTCATTCATGCATGCATGCATTAATTAATTTATTAATTAATTAATTAATTTATTTAATTATTTATTTGTTTGTTTGTTTGTTTATTTATTGATTTATTTATTCAATATTTATTTATTCATTTATTTATTAAATATTTATTTATTCGTTTAATATTTATTTATTCATTCATTTATTTATTCATTTATTCATTTATTTATTTATTTATTTAAAATTTATTTAATTATATATTTATTCACTTATTTATTTATTTATTTATTCATTTATTTATTTATTCATTCCGTATTTCTTTCTTTCTTTATTTAATATTTATCTATTTATTTGTTTATTCATGTATTTATTTATTCATTCATTTATTTAATATTTATTTTTTTATTAATCTAATTGTTTTTTCATTAATTTATTTATTCATTCATTTATTCATTTATTTAATATTTATTTATTCATTCATTTATTTATTTGTTTATTTATTTATTCTTTATGTATCTGTTCATTCATTTATATATTTGTTTATTCATTTATGTATGTATTAATTTATTCATTAATTTGTTTATTTCTTTCTTTATTTATTCATTCATTTGTTTATTCATTTATTTAATATAAACTTTTTTTATTCATTTGGTAATATTGTGTTGTATTAGTATCAGATACTATGATTTTAGTTTATTTATTTGTTAATTAATTAATTTATTTATTTATAAGTGTAATTTTGTAATTTTTATTACTTTATTTATAATCTTACTTTATTTTATAATCTTATAATTGTATATACATGTATATACAAGTATTAGTTTGAATTATTTGACTAAATCTAGATAAATTAAAAAATAATTAAGAAATTTTATTTAGTAATATAACCCTGCAGTGAAGACAAGGTATTTATTTATTGAATAACCTGAAAATGAGTCTTATATAGACCATTTCAATGTGGTGATGCCATTGGCCCATGAACATTTTCTGTTTATTGTCAATTTATTTCATATCTGTAAAAAAAAAAAAAAAAAAAGGCAATCAAATATTTACGTTTAAAACAGCTATCATAACATTATTTATCAATATGTCGAGCTTTTTAAATTCATGGAAGCTATGCATTTTTGAAATGTACAACAGGAAATATGTTTGGGCCATTCTCATTGTTTACATCTTTCAAAATGGTCTAGATATTTTAATGTCAAAAAAATACACACTTCAGCTTTAAAATATATTCCTAAAGATATTCGTATTGCATTTGTTTAGACATCGGAATATTATGTAAGATATTATATTAAAACATCAAATGTTATATATAAGACGTGACTTTATTTTGTATTTAATAAGTGAAAAATAGTTTGAATCATTTCTTAAAACTAAAAAAAGATCCTGCACCATCGCAAAAATGTCTAGAGCTGGTTGCTCCACTAGTAAGCCTGTATTTAAATGTGAATTGAGTTCACAAATCCTCAGAGAGAATACAGAGAGAACACGGCACTCACTTATTTTCCGAGAGGCTTCTGTTGACTAGTCAAGCGTGGTTTTCTAAAAGATGAGGTTTTACACTAAGCAGAGGTATTCAATGTGCTGCACTGCTATGGCTTTTGAGCCTAAACAGGGGTAAACCTTCGAGTATAAAGCCCTATAAGGTTCTTCTCCCTCTGACACTTCTCTCTGTCTCTGTCCCTCTTTCATTCTCTTTCCTCTCTTAGTCTTTCCAGATAATGCATCTTGTGTTTTTCATCATGAGACTGTCTGAAAGCGTCCTCTAATGTCTCTGTGCTACTGACTGCGTCCCCCTTCCACAGATCCTCACAGTCTTTTTCTCTGTCCCATGGTTTCAAATCTATTTTTACCTGTCTCATGTTCTCTCCTCTGTAGGCATCTACTAAACTCTTCTAAACTAACAAACAGTCTTTCATTTCTGTGTCAAACCTAGTCTTAGAAGTAATACTTTCCAGGAATGAAATCAAGGGTTCAAAATAAGTTCAGCTCTATTGATAGCATCAGTGTCACGGTGTTGAAAATAATAACTCGGCTGTCAGTTTCTAAAGACACGCAGATGCTCTCAATAGAACAAAATTAGAATTCAGTGCCAAAAATACATTAATTCATCCGTCTTTCATCTGTGGAACATAAAAGATGTTTTGTGGAATGTTAGTGCTGCTCTTTCATACATTGGAAGCAGATGGGACCAAAAAAACAACAACCTAAAAGCATTGTGAAACTTATATTTAATCCGTTTGTGAAGGCCACAGAGCATCATTTAGATTACAAAGTAATTTTACGGTCACCATTCACTTTCATAGAGCAAACAATAGTTTGTACTTTAAATGTAGTTATAAAATTGTGCTTTGATGTTCTACAGAAGAAAAAAGGTTATACGTGTTTATAATGACACAAGGTCAAAAATACATTAATTTTCCCGGCTTTCATCTGTGGAATATGAAAGAAGATGTTTTGTAGAATGTTGTCGCTGCTCTTTTCTACAATGAGAGCAGATGGGACCAAAAAAACACCCTTAAAGCATTATGAAATTAATTTTTAATTGGTTTTTGAAGCATCATTTACAATACAAAGTACTTTTCCGGTCACCATTCACTTTCATAGGGAAAACAATAGTTTGTACTTTTAAATTTAGTTATAAATTTGTGCTTTTATGTTCCACAGAAGAAAAAGTTAATTCATGTTTATAATGGCACGAGGCCAAATATACATTTATTCATCCGTCTTTCATCTGTGGAACATGAAAGAAGATGTTTTGTAGAATGTTCTCACTGCTCTTTTCTACAATGGGAGCAGATGGGACCCAAAAAAAAGCAACCTAAAAGCACTATGAAAATTTTTTTTAATACCCTTGTGAAGCATCATATACATTACAAAGTACTTTTACGGTCACCATTCACTTTCATAGAGAAAACAATGGTTTGTATTTTGTATTTAGTAATAATTTTGATGTTCCACAGAAGCAAAAGGTTATACGTGTTTATAATGACACAAGGCCAAAAATACATTCGTTCATCTGCCTTTCATCTGTGGAACATGAAAGAAGATGTTTTGTAGAATGTTGGAACTGCTCTTTTCTACAATGGGAGCAGATGGGACCAAAAAAAAAAAAAAAAAACAACCTATAAGCATTACGAAACCTTAATACTTTAGTGAAGCATCATTTAGATTACAAACTACTTTTACTGTCACCATTCACTTTCTTGAGGAAATCAATAGTTTGTACTTTAGATTTAGTAATAGATTTATGCTTTTATGTTTCACAGAAGAAAAAAAGTTAAACATGTTTAGAATGACATGAGGGTGAGTAAATCATGACATGATCATTTAATCCAAAATCATTTTCTCATTTAACTTGTTTTGAACCCAACATGTTGCTTTTATAAGCAGAACTTTAAGGACTTGTATAGTTTGTTTAGTTGTATAGTAATGTATAGTTGCATGTTTTCCTTTTTGGGGAATAGAAGACTAACCACTTCTTTATCAAAACTTATAGTTTTCTCCATCTTTGTGATAGTTTTTTGTTTCAGGCTATACATATTACAATGGCACATCATGTATTTCATTGCGGCTGACTGCTCTGTTGTGCTTCATGTTTATCTGTGCATTTGTCATCACTTTCTTCACTCCACATGGACGCATGTGGAGGAAATAAGCCACTCCACTCACATTAGCATTTTTCCAGCTTTAAACATCTCTTATGTTTTGTTTCCTCACACTATTTGTTTTTCTTTTTGGACCAAAAATGAATCATTCTCTCAACTTCATTTTAGAAGTAGAAGCACATGTAGTTGAAGTGTTGATATCCTTGCCTAAATGTAATGTTTTTGCTCATTTTTGATGTATATGATTATACATCATCGGTAAATATAGTTGAAAATCTCTCAAGAGAAGAAAACACTATATTCACGGCTCTTCTTCACAGCTTCCTCACACACACACACACACACACACACACACACACACACACACACACACACACACACACACACACACACACACACACACACAGATGTTTGTTTAAAAATATTTGACAGATCTACGGATCAAGTTTGTTTTCATTTTAGGTTTTGTAAGATGGCTTCGCATTGTAACCCAGAGGTTGAGAAGAAGCCAGTGCTGCCACTGATAGATTTCATGTTTATCTCGCTCATTTGTTCAAATATTTGCCTTGTACGGTAACGCTTCACTGCTTAGCACAGATGCTCACTATCAGTAAGAGAGTCGGTGGAATATATTTACTCATGTGGAAGAGTCTAAATGACTTCAATTTATT